CACCTTGCCTGGGGTACAGGTAAGCTGCAGCACTACAACCTTGACAGAGTTGCAGAGGAGCATGCACCTCAAATATCTCCCTTGGATGTCATTTAGGTCATGCTCTGACCCTAAGGCTACACTCATGTTACACACAAGGAACAGATCACTCCCCTTGATGTACAGCTCAGATCAGAGCTCAAGGTTCTCAAAAGAGGCAGGATAAACTCAAGCGTGCTTAGCACAGTGAAGTGCTGCTGCTGTTCCCTTCAGACAAAAGTCCTGACCTCAAAGCTGCTTTTGTGTGTAAAGAAATGAACAATGTTCACCTGCCAGTACAGGGTTCTGCTTCTTAGACAGCTCCAAGAATCCAACACAAAGCATGTGCGCTTGGTGCAGCAATGCGCCAACACGGCTCAAGAAGAGGACAAAGTAGCTGAAGAGATGGCACAAGTCAAGAGCGCCTGGTGCAGCAAAGTGCTGCTACTATCCCCTCCAGAAACTGAACAGTGTTGACCTGCTTGTGCAAGGTTTTCCTTCTCACACAACTCAAGGAATCAAGTCTCTGACATGTGCGCTTGGCGCAGTGGTAGCCAACACAGCTCAGAAGAGGAGAGAATAGCTCAAAAGGAACAACACAAGTCAAGAGCGCCTGGTGCAGCAAAGTGCTGCTACTATTCCCTTCTGAAATCACGCCCACGCTCATTTGTCAACGGGTTATGGTCACCAACGACTTGCACAAGCTGTGATGAGTGCTAGTCCGCACATGTGACTGAATAGGACGTAGGCAAACAGAGCTTGACAATTGCGCTACCGTAGCCCTTCAACGTCCTGCTGTATTTATTCGGGTAGCATGTTTACTTTCCGGCGGCATCTAACCCGCTGATGCGTCCCCAAGCAGCCTGCCAACTCATTATCGATCATCACAGAGTTGTTGACCTGGTGCTGATATGCTGGCAAGGTCTAGCTTGCTCGATGCGGCCCGTGTCTGACTGGTCACAAGATCGGCACTCCTTTTGACTCTTCTCTCAAGCTGCTGGGCTGCAGCGCAATTTTTTCCAATGTCAGCGAGCGAGAGCAGAGCTGAGACCGCGCCGCGGGATGTGTTGAAAAACATTTCCTGCGCTCGCGCAACGACATTCACGTGATTGGCTGTGTATCAAGATCGCGGGCAATGAGTACACTAAGCACCATAGTTATTATGCTCCAAGACGATGGCAGAAGCAAAAGCACACATTTTTGGTGGGCCAATGCGGGCGTCTTTGTAGATGCACGCACGGGTAACGTTTCAGATGTTTGAACTGTTTGTGTATGGTCGCCGTTATCGCTGCTGCGGGATCGGGCGTCCAAATCCCTTTCGGAGCTGATCACGACGGGCGAGCAATGTAAAGCATGAAGCGTCTGAAATGTATTTGTGATTGTCGAAGGATGCCAATTCGACCAGATGCCGATCGGGCCCCTGCTGAGCGAGTGTGGACGGTGATAACGTATATAGTCGGTCACGGCTCATATACTTGTATCAGCGCCGGCGCGTGTATGCGTGCCAAGTCTTGGCAGGGGAACCCGGATCAAGCCACACGCGGTCGCAATCCTTGCTTTTGCCGCCGCTTTCTCGGCAGAGGCACCTATAGCTGCGATGAAGCGGTCAAGTTTTAATATGCGAAATGAATGCATGCATGGCTGCATGTCAGTTGAGTGTATTACGAGCCCAAACCACTGCGCTGTTGCCTCTGCACGCGTGTGCACGCGGACCAAACATCATCACCACCCGCCAGCTCAATTTAAGTCTGCTGTTGCTGATGACGTCGCCTTTCGTCAACTCCGACCAGCCTTGTGGACCCAATCTACGCGCTTCGACATCACTTCACCGTACAACTCACGCGTGGAGCAGGGACGCCGTGTCTAAAGGCCGCCACGTAAATAAGGAGCTCACACGTTGGGGAGCCGCTGCCGGCGGAAGGCCGGGAGCAGAATTACCCCCAGGCACGCGAGCCACGGAATGAATAGGAGACGAGCCTTCAAGAAGCGACGAGGGGGAGAGCTCTGACGCTCGAAGCCAACGCTGGAGGTGGTGGATGAAAAAAGCGAATTCCATCGCCATGTGACCATTTGAGAAAAAAAGTAGTGCTAGTCTTGCCTTTCGACGCTCTCCTCACGGCAATCATGTGAATGACTCGAGGGATCACTTCCGCGGGTTGGAAGCCGAAGCCAAGGTTGTCGATGCAGACGCAACGAAAAGTCAAGACTCACACTGTCATATCATCGCTCTGGGCTTCTCGATTCTCGCTAGGGCAGCAACCAGAACAGCGGCGCTCTAGTTGCGCGATTGGAGCAAAGGGTTTGTAAGCGCGCGTGCCCTCATCAGCCACCGACGTGTTCGCACACGCGCTAGCGCCAAGCCTTGGCCTGCTGCATCCCGCTGCATGCGGCCGAAGCAATCTGAACGAACACGATGGGCATCTCCGCTGTCTTTGGCTCCCGTGACTTGATACGGATGCAGCAACGATGCTCGATTCCAGCTAGACAGCCTATCCTCCTCGAAAAGTCATCATCGCTGCAAAGACAGCTCTAGAGCCCCGGTTCACCTTCCGGCGCAAAACGGACTTCCGCAAGTCGAGAGTGTAGTAGTTGCCGCAATGCTTTCACCGCGCTGCCTCCACTCGGCAGCTTTTATATGCGCCAACCCACTTTGCCAAGCCTTCCAAAGGTGCTCCGCAATCATGCCATTCAGAATCACAACCGCGGACGTGGATCCGCAAGACTTATAAAGAGCGCGGTTGCCGCCGGATGTGAGGTGGGACACCCCATCTACAGCAGTTCTCCAAGCTCAAATACCTCCCGAGCCAGGACTAGCAAAGCGAACCCGATCATTCCCCTTCAACCAACATCACGCAACACCACACGTCATCCACACTTTGACGCGGCATCAGAGCACGTCATGGCACTCCCAGAGCGGGCAGACACCATGACTGGCGAGACAAGAGTCCAGCAAGGGCAAGCTCCGGCGCAAAAGGCGCAATCGTCTGATGTAGATCTCGAGAAGCAGACCCCAGGCGCTTCGGAAGAGTCTGGTGAGCATTCCTCTCCGAATGGCGATCCCACTACAGCGCCGCAAGGTCCGATCGAAAGGGAAGAGGCGATGAAGAATGCGTATCAGTACCCTTCCAAAGTCGTCGTCGAAGCTATGGGCTCAGACGAGACGCAGGGCTTGAGCGAAAAGGAAGTAAAAAATCGAGCGGAACAGTATGGACCCAACCAGCTCGAAGGCGGAGACGAGATTAGCAAGCTCAAAATTCTCATCCACCAGGTGGCCAACGCGATGACGCTGGTAAGTACGAATGGCTCCTTTTGTTGGCTCGCCCCGCGCTCACACGTAGCTCTCCGCGCAGGTCCTTGTGCTTGCCATGGCTGTATCCTTTGGTATCAGAAGTTGGATCGAAGGCGGTGTTCTGGCTGGTGTTGTCGCAATGTGAGCTGAGCGCGAAACAGAACGAGCTATCGACATGCGAGTCTAACTTTTCGAACCCTCCCCAACCTTTTCACACACACCCACAGCAACGTCTTTGTTGGGTTCTTCCAAGAGTTGAGCGCCGAAAAGACGATGGGAGCCCTTCGCAACTTGGCTTCGCCTACTGCCAGAGTCATTCGAGGCGGACACAGCTCCATCATTGCTGCCGGCGAAGTTGTGCCTGGCGATTTGCTCGAGCTTGTCACTGGCGACACTGTTCCTGCGGACATTCGCCTCATCGAGGCCATGAATTTTGAAGCGGACGAGGCACTCCTGACTGGAGAATCCCTTCCGGTTGCCAAGGATGCTTCGTTGGCCTACGGTCGCAAAGACGGGGGCGAAGTTGACGTTGGCGTGGGTGACAGACTCAACATGGCTTTCACTTCGAGCAACGTTACCAAAGGTCGCGCAGTCGGCGTCGTGATTGGCATCGGCATGCAGACGGAAATCGGCGCAATCGCAGAGGCACTGCGAGGCGCAGACAAGGACCAAAAGATTCGCGACGTGAAGCGCAACGCACAAGGCAAAGCTGGTCCTCACCGCTACGTGCAAGCTGGTGCCTTGACGATTTGGGACAAGCTTGCGGGCTTCCTGGGTCTCACCAAGGGCACACCGCTCCAGAAGAAATTGTCGCTTCTCGCCATCTTCCTATTCTTTCTGGCCGTCATTGCATCCATTATCGTGTTCCTTGGCAACTTGAACGGTGAATCATCTCCTTGGGGATCTCAGGAAGTCGGTATCTACGCCGTCGCTACTGGAACGTCCCTCATTCCCGCAAGTCTGACCGCTGGTGAGTCATCACTCCCGATGCAGGGAGAGGAGAGAAGCATAGCGCTGACATCGCCTTCCAACGCACAGTTCTCACCATTACCATGTCGATGGGCTCGCGAGCAATGGTCAAGCGTCACGTCATCGTTCGCAAGCTCGAGTCGCTCGAGGCCCTTGGCGGCGTCACCGACATTTGCTCCGACAAGACCGGCACGCTGACACAGGGCAAGATGGTTGTTCGAAAGGCCTGGGTCCCCGCCACCGGCACCTACACTGTCGAGGAGACCAATGAGCCATTCAACCCTACTCTCGGTAACGTCACACGCGGCGAAAAGGAGCCCCGCGACACCCCCAAGGACAAGTACGGCCGACCGCTTGCTGATCAAGACGACGAGGGCGAGGTGGTCACAGATGGCAGCGCTGGTTCGAGCAAGGTCAAGGACAATGAGAACTTTGTCAATTTCCTCAACGTATCTTCGCTCTGCAACTTGGCGAAGGTGTTCAAGGAAAAGGAGTCGGGCGATTGGACAGCTCACGGTGATCCAACTGAGTGCGCTATCCAGACCTGGGCGTGCCGCTTCGGTTGGGCTCGTCAGGGTTTGACGAATACGCAAAAGTCGGACGATGGAGCAAACGATGAGACTGCAGAAGTGCCAGATGACGAAAAAAAGGAGGCTGTCAAGGAGCAGAACAGAGATGTTCCCTGGAAGCAGATCTCCGAGTATCCCTTCGACAGTTCCCTCAAGCGCATGGCGGTCACGTTTCACCACAACAAGACTGGCGACAACTTTGCCTTCATGAAGGGCGCTGTAGAGCGCGTCTTGGATGCCTGCACTCACGCTCAAATGGCAGACGGAAGGACCGAGCTGACGGACGAGATTCAAGAACAAACTCTGGCCAATATGGAGTCGCTCGCAGCCCAAGGCCTTCGAGTGCTCGCGCTCGCTCAACGACCGCTGGAGAAAAGCGAAGCGAGCCAAGGTGCGGATCTCGAGCGTGACCACGTCGAAAAGAACATGACTTTCCTGGGACTTGTCGGTCTTTACGATCCTCCCCGCCCCGAATCTGCACCGGCTGTCAAGCTCTGCAAGACTGCTGGAATCGTCGTCCGCATGGCAACCGGCGATCACCCTGGAACAGCAAAGGCAATTGCAATCGACATTGGCATCGTGCCCAAGCACACGCAAAACTACTCGAAGCGTCAGCTCGACTGCATGGTCATGACCGCTTCGCAATTTGACAAGCTCTCGGACGAGCAGATTGACGATCTTCCCGACCTGCCACTCGTCGTCGCGAGATGCTCGCCGCAGACCAAGGTGCGACTCATCAATGCACTGCACAGACGAGGACGCTACTGTGCCATGACTGGTGACGGAGTCAACGACTCTCCCTCGCTCAAAATTGCAGATGTCGGGATCGCTATGGGCCAAGCAGGGTCTGACGTCGCCAAGGATGCATCCGACATTGTGCTCACGGACGACAACTTTGCCTCCATTCCCAATGCGATCGAAGAAGGACGTCGCATGGCTGACAACATCAAGCGCTTCGTGCTGCACCTGCTCGCTCAGAATATCGCTCAAGCTTGCGTGCTTCTCATCGGCTTGGCATTCAAGGATGCCAGTGGCTTCTCGGTCTTTCCGCTTTCGCCCATCGAAGTTATCTGGATCATCCTCGTTACCTCTGGTCTTCCAGCCATGGGTCTGGGTCTGCAGCAAGCCGAGACGGACGTCATGAGACGTCCTCCCGACGATCTCAAGTGGGGTCTCTTTAACCCCGAACTCATGATCGATACTGTCGTCTACGGCTTTTGGATCGCAGCACTCTGCCTCGCCGTCTTCACGCTATCCTTCTTTGGCTTTGGCACATCCGTCTACGGCTTCGAGTGCAATCGTTCGCTCACTTACGACTCGAGCTGCGAGGACGTCTATCGATCTCGTGGAGCGACGTTTGCCTTTCTCACTTGGGCGTCCGTCATTCTCGCTTGGGAAGTTGTCTCCATGAGACGTTCTTTCTTCCGCATGGGCAAGGGTCACTCTCTCTGGACGCAGTGGTTCCACGACACGTGGCGCAACAAGGTCCTCTTTTTCTCCGTCGTCTTTGCATTCTTTACCATCTTTCCCATCCTCTACATTCCCGGGCTCAACACGCTCATATTCCTTCATCAAGGTCTCAGCTGGGAATGGGCCATCGTCATTGTGGCCACCATTCTGCTCGTCTTTGGTCTAGAGGCATGGAAGATGGGCAAGAGATGGTGGTTCAAGAGGGTGCAGGTCGAAAGAGACACGGTCGCAGAGAGTGAGGCTGCCGCAAAGCTGGACATGACCCCTGCACCTACCCTCGAAGCGCTCTCCAACCCCATCAGACGCAAGATGAGCGATGGCAGTCCAGCCTGATAGAATCAAAACACTAGTATACATGCATAGAATGCTTCATAGACGCGAGGAAAAGAGATGTTCGTATCTTGTACTATACCCCGCTGATGTCTCCCAACGATCGGAGACGGAATGCCACCTTATTGATTCGAAACGTTTGAGCGTCCGCAAGCTGCTGCCGTCGTGTAGGCCGAGGGATGCTTGGCAGATGAAGGAGTTGTCGGGCTCTCGAGATGAGCAAGACCACTTGATTCGAGACTATTTCGTTCTCCCATTACCGCGACACGTCACGATGTTGGCCAATTGCGCTTTTCAAGGCGGACCTCGGATTTCACAGCGCTAAATGTACCAGTAAGCAACGCCGTTTCATGGTCGCGCATCGCGGTTCGTCGCGGCGGCGAGCCATTGTAGCGCAAGCTTGGCGCGATTGCTCCTCTCGTCTGTGGAGATATCACTTCTCCGGCCTTCGACAGTGAGACTGTGCGGATGGAGGAAGCTGGCGAGCCCCAAAAGTCGTCTGTCGCTTGTGGACTGTTGGTCTGAGGGCGTGCAGACGTGTATTTCGCACGACTCGGAAAGAAGACACAACGGCGAGTCTTGTTGCAGTCGAGGGAGGATGCGCGCAGTCATTTCGGACGCGATCTGGTCTGCGGTCGAGATGATGACGACGTCTGCAACGGCCAGCATCTCGTCGACGTGTCGAAAGACGACGACGCTGCTGCCAACAAAGTATTTTTCGATCGTCTCGAGGCACCTGTGCGACGCGTCGCTGAGTAGTATGGGATGGCCAGGGGGAAGCATGAATCGCAGAGCGTCTAGACATTGTTGCGTTGCTGGAGAGAGACCTACAAACGCAAAGATGGGCAGACTGCGTAACCTGTGCGATGCGTGGCAGCCAAGTTGAAGAGCTTCGTGGGTGCTGCGTGGGCGGTCGGAAGGACTATGAGAGTCTGCGTAGACACAAAGGTCCGCGGTGTTGTGACGATTGTGCTGCAGCAAGAGACCTGGCATGGTGAAATTGATCTGCGCACGTATTTGTCGCAGTCGAGCCGAGCCGAGCAGACCAAAGCGCTTGGAGAAGCCTAGATTGGGAAGTGAGAGGTCGATCGAAGCCAGCGCCTATTTATCAAGACGTTTGCAATGCCACGCGGTTGCACCTGGCGCTGCCGCAGAGTACGACATTGTCCTGCGAGATTGGAGGATCCCAACCCGGGCCGCACCTCCTTCGGCGTGAGCCGCGCGCCGCGTGGATGCCGATCCCCGAGCAGGAGCGAGCGGATGCAACCCGCCGCGAACCAAAGCCGTGGTCCAAGGTGCCGTTGTCAGCCTTTGCACGCGGAATCTATGGTCGACAGAGAGGCTTGCACGGCTATAGACGCGTGACAGATCACACACCCAATCGTGAGTGACACTTGCAACGATGATGTGCCTGGCGCATCAGGTCGGCGTTGCCCTGGCCGAGTGCGCGATTTGCGCTGAGCGGCGCTGACAGATGCCTTGAGTTGATCCGCAGAGCACGTCACCCTCGCATCTTCGACCACGGGGGGGTGGGGTCGGATTTGCACGGCTTCGATGAAAGAAGAGATCGGGCTGCCCACCTCAACGCCTGACATTGATGCTTGATTTCCTGCAAGGCATGGACGGCTTGCTCAGCCCCGAATCACGAATCACGAACCAGTGAAGGGAGATGGCGTGCATGCTGTATATATGAAGCTGCGGCGCGGCGCGGCGCGGCGCGTTGCCGCGGTCGGGCAGCGCGTTGGAGTTCATCACCGAAAAGTCACGGGCAACGCCGCGGCTGCTGCTGCATGTGCTGCGCGCCCCCAGCAGGAGCAGCAACAACAGGCACATCGCATGCTCGGGCTAGTTAGTGCGTGTGGTGGGCATCCCTGAACTCCGCTCGCTCCCGATACAACAATGCTTGCTCACAACCACCACCCCCGCTCGCTGATGTGCGAGACTGCATGCGTTGCGAGTGCATCAGCGGCTACTCCAGGCAGACCATGCTTGGATGCATCTACGTGGTGTATACGTCCTTCAGGAACCGAGGAACCGCATGTGAATAAGGAACATCGGCTACTCACGACTCGCACGGTCTGGTGTTTGGTGCCCCACCAGGTTGCGATCAAGCGTCTGCTAATCAATGCCGGCAACGCAAGGCACCCGTGAACGGAGCTCGGCGGTGACTGCTGGCGATGAGTCTCTCGACATCACGAGTGCCCACCAAAAACGTAGCAAGCCCGAATGTCGTCCTTATCGCCGAAAGTGCGAGGCCAGCTTTCGCCGATCGCCAATGGGGACATAATCGTCGTCGGAGCAACGTCCCGAGGTGCGCCTCGACACGAAGAGACCCTCATCGCTCCTTCGATGCCGAGTGTATCAAGCTGCGTACCGTTCCATCACCATTCTGCGCCCTGCATCATCGCCTTGCCATTCTTGGCATCGCCTCCTTTTCCATTGCGCTAGACTATTTCGCAGGGCCGCGCCATCCCGCGTCGCCGCTCGAAAGCCTTGCGAACACCACTCGCAGACAATTCTCGACTTGGCGTTCCAGCTGACTCGAACAAGACTCGGGCCGACCGGCATTGGCAGCCAAGCTTGTGCCAGACAGCAAGGAAAATGTCCCGATTTTGGCTGATCGGTGAGCTTTCCGCCGTGCGCGGAGGGTCATAGGGTCCGAGCAACCTTGTCCTTGCTTCCACGTTACCTCAGCGCGAAATGCCCGCCGCTCTGACGCGCCGCACGGCCAATCGATCGATCGACGTCGGGTTTGCGTAGCAGCGACATGCTGCGATGGCGTCCTGCTTGAGATGCCCTATAAGAAAGCTAGAATCGTGTCCTCACATTCTTCAACGACTGACGGTACAAGCAACTTGCTTCAAACTTTGAGCTACGCCTGCCACAAGACTCATCAACGTATCAGTATGCCTGGCATCACTAGACCAGCCCTTTCCCTCGCAGCCTCCAAGGCCCGATCGAAGCCAGCAAAGACCGTCTCCGCAAACGAGAATCTCGACTGGCACCCAACTTCCTGGCGCTCCAAGCATCTTGACCAGGACATTGTCTACCCAGACGAAGGCAAGCTGTACCAGGCTCTCAGCAAGATCAGCCGCCTTCCTGGGCTCGTGACTCCTGCCGAGATTGAGCGCGCTCGCGAGGACTACGCCCGTGGTGCTCGAGGCGAAGCCTTCTTCATCCAGGGTGGTGACTGCGCCGAAGGTGAGTAGGCGGTGCGTGTGGCAGGATCGACATCACGATGCTCACGCGTGTCTCGTCTCTCAGCTTTCGACGAGTGCAATGAAGAACACATCTCTGCCCAACTTCGCGTGCTTCTTCAAATGAGTCTGGTCATCTTTTTGGGCGCCAAGGTTCCCATCGTCCGCGTCGGACGTATCGCGGGCCAGTACGCAAAGCCCAGAAGCAAGCTAATGGAAGTAGTCAATGGAAGAGAGTACCCATCGTTCCGTGGAGATTCGGTCAACGGCGTTGCACTGCACGATAGACAGCCCAATCCTGAGCGCTTGCTTGCTGCACACTTTCACAGCTCCTCGACTCTCAATTACTTGCGCAGTCTGAACTGCGAGCAGCAAATCTTCAATGCTGCCATCGGAGAGCTCGACTTTGATGCAGAGTCCATCGTCGACGACGTGCTTCGACTCAACGCCTACAAGTTTCATGCTCGCATCGAGGATGTCATGCTGGCGTCGGCGCGCCAGGCAGACGCGTCGGACGTCAAGTCGCTAGAACGCCTGCAGGAAGCAGTCGGAAGCGAGATGCTCTGGACCTCTCATGAAGCGCTCAACATTCCCGTCGAAGAAGCCAGCATCCGCACAGTCTTGCACGATTCCACTGGCGACTTGCGTCACTACAACACCTCGGCTCACATGCTTTGGATAGGTGAGCGCACTCGCCAGCTCGAAGGCGCCCACGTGGAGTTCATGCGCGGTATTCGTAATCCCATCGGCTGCAAGGTCGGACCGAGCATGCAGCCTGCCGAGCTGGTGGAGCTCCTCGACAAGCTCGATCCTCACTTTGAAGATGGTCGCGTTACGCTCATCACACGTCTCGGTGTCGACAACGTCGAGCGCTTCTTGCCCGCTCTCATCGACGCTGTCCAAAAGTCCGGACATTGCCCTCTTTGGCTCTGCGATCCTTGCCACGGCAACGGCAAGACGACGTCGAATGGAGTCAAGACTCGAGATTTTGCCGACATGTTCGGAGAGATTGAAAAGTGCATCTCTGTACACGGTGCGCTCGGCAATCCTATTGGAGGCCTGCACCTCGAGCTTACTGGTGATAAAGTGACGGAATGCACGGGCGGATGCATCCCTCTGGCTGAAGATGGTCTGGGGGCGGCTTACAAGACTTTGTGCGATCCCAGACTCAACGCCGAACAGAGCTTGCATCTGGCGTTGCTCGTCAGCCGCAGGCTCGAGGGCGACAATTTGCACTCTCATCTCGTTTCTACTGCCAATTCGGCGGCCAACTTTGTGGCGGACACTCCTGCCGCCTAGGCTCTGGCAAGCTCCCCACGCTTACTGGTCGTATGAGCAAAGAAAAGTGCGCGACTGTGCTTCTCGGCCAAGAACTCGCTCCATGACTCCAACGACTGCTCGCTCTCCAGATCAAGCAAGCCGAGGAGGTCCTCCCTTGCTCGCCTTGTCCACCTTTGCAATCTCCATTCTCCCCGCGTAGAAGACTCAGACGCTGCAATACGATTCACATAGACACTTTCGGCGTGAGAGATCAATTCGCCACCTTGGGCGCATGCAACGAGCTCTGTGCTGTGCGTGCTCATGCGCGAACTTGATCGTCCCGAATAGCGCCAGTCCGCGTCTTGAGCGGGTCGGTGGCGACAAGCGAGCCGAGACACTGGAATGCGGCCGGTGCGGACTCGGGTGAATCGCTTGGTGCACCTTCCAAAAGGTAGCGCGGCCGCCTGAACTCGATCAGCTCGACGAGCAGACGCTGAAATCGCCGGGCTGCGCCCCGCATCATGGCTTTCCCGAAGCATGCTGGTGGCGATGCCAATACCGTAGCGGTGCAAAACTGGTCAAGAGTCTGAATCCAAGGTTGGCGTTTTGCGCACATAAGAAAGGGAGCAAGGGGGAATTTGATTCCTCCTCGCCAAGGACGTGCTTTCAAATAGGCACGAGCTTATGTCGCACGCTCGTCTGCCGCCATGTCAGTCCGTCCAACCTGCTCGGGCCGCGCTGGTAGCTCCGCAAAGAGAGCGTTGCTGCTCGTGCTGATATGCAGCAGCTTGCTTGTGGGAGCAGCATCTTGCACCCGCACTTTTGCTGCGAGACGACTTGACAGGCGCAGCTCTTCCTCGACAGAAACGTCCGGCATCTCGACGGATCACCGCAGCGGCGAGAATTCTCAAGGTCGACGCGTACGGGCGCGATGGCGAGGACATTACCCGTCCGGCAGTGAGACGGGCAGCGACGGTGAGGGCGCCAGCAGCAGTCGCTCGGATCTTTCAACAGAACCACACCTTTCCGCCTCGAGTGGCAGTGACCATGGTAGAGCCGTGTCGCCAAGCGATTATCTACCACCACAAGATTTGCGCCTGCTACCGCCGCCTCTGGAGCACGTTCCGAGCGGTCTCTCATCCACGCTGATTTCGGGAGCAAGAATCCACGGCGAAGAATCGCCGCCCTCTTTGCATTCTGCAAGCTCCAACGCATGGGCTACGCCTCTCGAAGTGGGAGGTCCACACACGCCCGATTTTCTACCTGGCCATTCCACCTCCTCGTTGCAGGATTCTACATCCTCTATCATGCCTAGTCGCACCTCCAGCAGCCCAGCAAGAATATCGACGCCCGAGCGTGCAAGAATTCTTCGATCTTCCTCTTCGCCATCCCTGTCGACGCATCGACGTGGCGTAGCCAAGCATCTCGTCCAGACCAATCCTCGATGGGTTCTCTCCAGTGGCAGCAACGCGCACCTCCCAGTGCATCAGCTGGTCAACCGACCGGCTTTCACGAGACATACCCGAGGAGCGTACTTTTTGAGCGATGCTGGCGCCGAAGCCCGCGCAAGGGATGCGATTCATGGGCTGCATCGTGCACCATAGTGGTGGAAACTGTGCGCCGTTGCAAGTATCAAGATGAAAATCATCTCTCGAACGTGGAGGTCGTCGACATCTGAGGCGCCGACACCTCCCGCGCGCGACGCGAACCGTCTCTCGGGTGAATTTGTTTGCATGCGTTACATTACACTTGTGGTGTGGTCTGAAATAAATCGTACAGGCGTTGAAGTCGTGATTTTTGTACTCACCAGTCGCTCGTGTAGGTGTGGGTCTGGTGAATCGATGATGCTGCGAAGCGCGCGTGTGCATGTACTGTTGGAAAGCTAGCGTGTTTCCTGCGCCACGCCTGGACAAGCGATTGGCATCGGCTAGGCGAAAGCAATGTTTGAAGATGAGCTCAAACCAGCTCAGGGACACGACCAGCATTTGGTGCCGAGTCGTCAATTCGCGATACGTGCGAGCCTGCTTCGTGCTCAGGTGTTGCAGCATCCGTTCATTCTCTCCTTGAGGCCTTTGAGGCGTCCGCCTTCTCTACCCAGGTCGAAGCGGCTGTCGAATCCTCTCCCATTACCAAGACCCATGGTAGAAAAGCCGCTCCTGATGCTCATGCTTCCTCCAACGCCCCTGTCGCCATAGGAAATGCCGCTACCAGGCTTTTCGGGATCGATGCTACCAGATTCGATCGAGAGGAGAATGCTCTTGGCTGCCAAGTGGAATGGAGTTTCGACATTTTCGCCCGAGAGCGACGAGGTCTCGAGGTGAAGCGCGCCTGTGGCAGGGAGAGGGATCGCGCGCTCGAACAAGGCTCAGATCGACCACTCACACTCTTCCAACAGAGCAACTCACCATTATCGCGCGCCCATCGCTCCGCTTCCTCTTGCGCGACTTCCCTCTCATCCTCTGCCCGGTCGAGCTTGTTCCCCACAAGCACAACAACGAGATCGCTAGAAGCTAGAGATCGCGCATCCGCCAACCAGCGTGATAGCGGGTCGAACGTTGCTCGCCTTGCATCGAAAGTGTTACCAACGTGTTCAGCGATGGAGCACCACTACGGGCGACTCCGAGGCGATGCGCGCAGGATGGACTTACTTGGTAATGTCGTACACCAGCAGGCAGGCGCATGCTCCTCGATAGTAGCTACGAGTCACCGATCTGCGCGGCGGTACATCTGAGCAACGGCAGAGCGGAACGGGAGAGTACAAAGCTCACCGAAAGCGCTCTTGACCCGCCGTGTCCCAAAGCTGAATGATGCCGTGCGAGATAGGGTAATGGGTGCTTGACAGTGAGCAGTTGTCGCATCGAAATGTCTTGCACTCCATCAGACGCGCCATCTCATCTCAGAGCCGTGGTAGCAAATGTACCGAGTCGAGCACCTGACCCATGTATGCGATCCCTTTCCGTCAGCAGCAGCCACTCACCTGCAACTTGACGCACGTCTTGCCAACCCTGAGGACTTTGGAGCTGAATTCCACTCCGATGGTGTGCTGAGACTCTTCCTTGAATTCTCCATACACAAAGTGATGCAGCAAACAAGTCTTTCCAGTCCCGCTGTCTCCTATCAAGATCATCTAAGCGAGGGCGGTAATGGGAGGAGGTCCTCAGAGAATTGAACACGCAACGGCTGCAGAGACATGCTCGTGGGGAGAGAGTGGTCGAGCACTGCACTCCACTGCACTCACCTTGAAGAGAAAGTCGTAAGACTGCATCTCGATGGGGGACGTGCTCGACATGCTGGGCAGCGTGAGACGTTGATGTGGGAGGTGATGGTGGAGAGCGTCGATTCGTCGCACACGCCTCGGCGTCGAGACTCGCTCGCACTTCTCAAGGGGTCATGATGGAGTTGAGCACAGTCGTTTGGGTGCTCCGCCTATCTTGATTGATGAGAGCTTTCTATCAAGTCGCACCGATGCACGCATGCATGCATGCACGCAGCCCGCTCCTGGCTGGCATTGGCCTGAGCGTGCAGCGAGGAGGGCCAATTTGCGACACGTGACAATGCTGAGCATCAGAATCGAGAATCGACGTCGTGTGGAGCGTTGAATGCGTACGTCTGTCTGACCCTTGCAGAGGAGCGTCATCACTTCATCTTCCACCGAACACCCTGACCCCCTTCGTAGAGACTCCTGACTCGAACCAACACGACAGCGACAGAGTACACCTCGAAATATCTGGCTGGCACGCGGCAATGCCTTTTGATCCTCCATCTCCTACAGGCACGGCCTCCTTGCCCATGCGAGAAGTGTCTTTGGTCAGCAAGCGCGCTCAGATACGCGGAGCAATCAGCGCCTTGTTTGCGGGCATGGTGACCGGGCTGCTCTGTCAACGACTCCTGCGCGTTCCATCCAAATACATACTGGCAAATTCTTTGCGTGAGTGAGCTGTGCGCACAACATTGAGGAAGAGAGCTGTCAAATGGTGCTCACTCGACACATCACCCGGCGCACACATGCAGTTGCTGCAGGCGCGGCAGGCTACATTTCCGCCCGATCTGAGCTTCGAGATGGTCTATCAGAGCTGGAGAGGTCCATTGCTCTTCAAAGAGGTCACTCGCCCAATCTGCGAAAGCTGCAAGTCGGACAGCAGCTCAACGATGACCAGGCTTCTGCAAATGAGTGGAGCACGGCAAACGAGACGAGGTTCGAGGCGGGAGCGGGAGGAATGAGCGAATTTGTAGACAGGTATGCTACTACAAGAGGAGATCATTGAAAAGAACGCCACCTAGATGTTGATCGGGTGGTGATCGAGTAATCAGCACAGCTATCTAGCACAACCTCGAGCATTCACCGCCTCTCGGTCAGTCAGCCCTTTGAGCGAACGGGAAAGAGCCAAGGCTCGCGTGGAACGCACACGGGCGCGATTTGCAAGCGATGCTCATCGGAGCGTCGCGATGGACCTGTTTTGAGGTGGAGTTGCAAGGCTTTAGCGTTTCCAAACAGGACCCAACTGGCCGCGTGGTCCGTACAAGAACAATTGCACCTGCATTGGCCATGAGCTTCATGCCCAGCTCATCACGTGCGAGCACCCTGCTCTGCTCATAACAGCCAGCGATGGAACCCGACGCACGTCGCACACTCGCATTGAGGGCGACCGGCTTCTCGACGAGGGGCGGTCACCGACAGTAGGCCATTCGTATATCGCCACAGGGCGGTCAGGGCACCTATCACCCACATTGCGCTCTCAGCTTTGCGCAAATCTCATCGTGTTCGCCTGCCCTTTCGATTCTACTAATGTAGGACCAGGCTCTCCGCGTCTAACAGCATGGAACGGTGCAATTGCTACGGTGAAATTGGCAAGCGAGTCGCTCAAGACATCAAAAAGCAGAAGCAGAGAAGAGCAGAGCAGGTCCTTGATTGGCTGTTCTTCCAAATGCGGCGTGCGAAGCTGCCCGAATACATCGACGAATGCTCGACTCGAATCAGCATGGCAGAAGTCTGGAAGGAAGCGGCGCACGCATACTCACATGCACTTCTACCGAATGCCGAGTCCTTCTTGGGCACGGGCGCCCTTCCCCTCTTTCCTCTCTTGCCCGTCAACTTTTTGTCGCCCTTGTAGAATTCTCCACCGGGCAAGAATGCAGGATCTTCCATTCCCAAAGGATCATCCGTCGTCTTCTTGGGCGTCGCCGTGCCCTTTACGTTTGTCTTGCGAGCCCTCTCCTTGACGGCTTTGCGCGCGGCTTGTTCTGCGCTATACAGCTTGAGGGATCGTTTGAGAAAGGCTCGAGAGCGAGCTGCTGGACGTGTCTCGCCTGCTCGAAAAGACACGGGTTGGGGGAGTAGTATGTCTTCACGCTCTTCATGGTGCCTTGTCATCCTATCGGGATTTGCATCCTCATGCGAGCCTGGCAGGTCTATCCTTGGCGCCGCGGCAGATCTGACCACTGTCCGTCCGTCTCGCAGCCTCTTCATGCTTTCTCCATCTCTCCCTCTCACTACACCACCCTCTCTATTCTTTCTCTCTTTCTCTGCCCTGTGCACCTGTCGTCTCTCCTTCAGCGCCTCTGCCAATTCTCCAGCTGTTGTCGGTCTGTTCGATATCTCAGATCCATTACCTTGCAGCGATGCTGCAGATCCAAATACGCTCTCGAAGATTTTTGGATCTAGTCGAGTGGATTGACTAGTAGCGGTCAGCGATGATACGACTTTGTCCTCCTCCTCCTCTCCTGAAAGTCCCGATAGTGCTGCATCGCCCCGAGTAGCTTTAGCTTTGAGAATGGATTTGGAAGCTAATGCGGCGGTCTGTCGAGCTTTGGCTGCCCTGCTCCTCGCGGCTTTGCGGCTAAGAGTGCGAGGGGGAAGGGTGCTGCGGTCAGAACGTTCGGAATCGCGTACGAGCGCCGAGCGACCGACTTGCTTGCCGTGTAGAAAGACGTTCAGGAAGCGTTCACACACACACACACACACACACACGAACGCACCTCTTTTCTTCCTTTTCCTCTGCTGCTCTCCTTTGCTCCACGGCTTTCCTGCTATTGACGTTCGAAGCCTCTTCGGGCGCTTCATCTTCCTCATCGTCATCCGCATCGCTCTCTTCGTCGTCATCCCGCACCTGATTCGAACTTGCTCCCAAGTCATCGGACCCGGTTCCGCCGACGAGTCCCACATAATCCTCCTCTTCTTCTTCACCAGGCAGCTTCAGCTTTTTGCTATTGCCACTCAAGGACAACGAAGGATCGAATCCTCCCAAAGCTCTCGATCTGCGAATCGCAGCAGGGTTGGTCGTTGCCGACGCCGCTTGCGAGCCTTGCGATCTGGACGTTGCTGACCCTTCACCCGCATCTGAGTTTGCGTGTCGGTCTCTCTTGAAAGAGCGCGCGTGCGATCGATCGCGCTTGTTGGAGAGGGATGCGGAGGCGCTGGGAAGAGCCGATGTGGATGGCAGCGTTCGACGGGTCATCTTGTCCGAGAGCGGGGGGATGATGAGAGGCCCACTGCACGACTTGGCTTGCAGGAGAGCTGGCTGTGTGATGTCCTGGGCGTGAGGGTAGCTGGTCAGCGAGGTGGGTGTGTGCGATGCAACGTGCGTGAGTCGTGGAAGACAGTGCGTGCAAGCGAGATCTTCGCCTGCAGTCGTCAGTGTGAGTGTGAGTCCACCATCCATCGTGAATCACCCACGACTGTGACTGTGACTGGATGCTGTGAATTCAAATTCCAGATCGTCGAGAATTTTGGGCGGATGAGGTGACCTCTCGTGCGATAGAATGCCGCCCGCGCGCGGCGATCAAGAAAAAGTTGCTCGAGACGATGACCGCGCCTCATGCACGCAAGATTCGGGATTCGCGGTTGGAAGCTTCAAATCGTTGTCAGCAGCTCGTGACCAACAGGCTGCACCCACGATTTTCCGCTTTCTACCCTCACCCGCTCATCACTTCGCATTTGCTTGCGCGAGGTGCTTAGTCCCACTTGCGCCCTCAGTTCAGCCCTCATCCCTCGGTATGGATCCTGGACCATCTCGAAGAAGTCTCGGCGGCAATGGAGGGGCACAAGGGGAGGGGAACGGTGGCGGAAGAGGAAAGAAGAGGCATGGCGCAAGAGGAGGGGGAGAAGAAGGAGGTTGGGGCAAGCACACGGCGCAAGCCATGGAATCGCAATCCAATTCGATTCATCGCACGACCAATCTCCCCAAATCGCTGCAGCAGTCCATGCCTCTGCCGGAAGCTCGAGCGCCCAAGTCGTTGGGACGCATCCAGGACAAGAAGTTGCGAGCTCAATTGAGCAAAGCTCATTTGGATTCCAAACGAGCCAAGGAACAAGCCAAGTTGGCCGACGAATACATCCATGCGCCTCAGGCTGGTGAAGAGGCGGGCATGATAGAGGTGGAGAGCAATATGGAGAGGACTGCGCGTGTCACCCAGAGGGAGATCAGGCAGAGCATCGCTTTGGACGCAGCTACAAAGTCCTTCTCCCTCGATCTGTCGGCCAACAAGGGTAACAGTCGCAATGCGCCCAACGCCAGTCTGGGACCGTACCGCGCAGACTATACGCGCAATGGCAGACATCTACTGCTGGGCGGTAGAAAGGGTCATCTGGCAGCGTTCGATTGGCAGACGGGTCAATTGCTGTGCGAAGTGCAAGTCAAAGAGACTGTGAGGGATGTGAAGTGGCTGCACAACAAGTCCTTCTTTGCAGCAGCGCAGAAAAAGTACGTCTACATTTACGACTCTTCGGGGGCAGAAGTGCACAGGCTTAGGGATCACATAGAAGTGACCAGGATGGAATTTCTGCCCTATCATTTCCTCCTCGCGACCGTGGGCAACGCTGGGTGGCTAAAGTATCAGGATACCAGCACAGGAGGTATCGTTGCTCAACACCGGAGCGGATTAGGCGCTTGCCACACTATGGCACAGAATCCACTCTCCGCCTTGATACACCTTGGTCACGCAAATGGCACAGTGACCATGTGGACGCCGAACTTGTCCAGCCCCGCAATCAAGATGTTGGCGCATCGAGGACCTCTGAGCGCCATTTCCCTATCGACGCAAAATCAGGGCAGAGATATGGCCACTTCTGGTCTGGACGGGTCCGTAAAGGTGTGGGACATTAGGATGCTCGGCCGAGGAGCTCTTCGTGAATGGCAAAGCCGCAAACCTGCCAGCGATTTAAAGTATTCTCAAAGAGGCTTGCTGGGCGTAGCGTGGGGGAGTCACGTCTCCATCTACGATCCCAAAGCCCCGTTCAAAGCTGCAGTCACTCCCGGTCCGTACCTCACAAACGGCTTTCCCAGCGGTCCGCCCATCAGCATCAACTTTTGTCCATTCGAAGATGTCCTCGGCGTCGCTCATGCGAAAGGCTTTGACTCGCTCGTCATTCCGGGCGCTGGTGAACCGAGATACGACTCGACGGAGATTGATCCCTATGAGGGGAAAAATAGCAGGCGGGAGCGCGAAGTGCACGCTCTGCTCGACAAGGTGAGTCGGGGGAGCAATTGTCACCGGCGAGGTTTATCCTCGCAGCATTCGCAGCTGCCGGCACTTGCTCACGCATGTAGGACCTCTTGACGCTTCTACCTCGACGCAGATTCAACCCGAGATGATCACGCTGGATCCAGAGACGTTGGGTCAGATTGATCACTCGACGGCAGGCAGCGCAGCTCCCCGCGAGGAATCGCCCACGCCTTTGGGTGGCCGACAATTGGCACGTTCTTCGGATGGAAGGCCGTACGCCCGGCTTAGTCGTCTCGAAAGGCTGCGTTTGGATGGCCTAGCCGACGAAGGTCCGGATGCCGTCATTCGGCCCGTTGGGGATGTGGACGAAACGGTGTCCGGAGATGGGGGCATGATCGCGGGGACCAGAAGCGTGGCGGTCCCAAGCGAACGATTGGTACGTGAAAGGGAAAAGAAAAAGGCGAGGGGCAAGAATAGCAGTTTGAAGAGATATCTTAGGAAACAAAAGGTCAATGTGATCGATCCCAAGGCACTTGCGGCTAGAGAGAGGTTGGAGAGGTCCAAGGAACAGCAGGCTACCATCAAGGAACAAAAGAGAAGAGAAGAGTTGGGCCTGCCTCCCATCGAGCAGGACCATAGTGCTCTTGCACTCTTTAGCAAGAAGAAGAGAAGAGCTGGATAGGCTCGTGACAGTAGAGCATCTTTTGTCATCCATGCCACCTGTACTCAACATGAAGCATCATTTTCTGATCGTTGAGACTTTGCACAGCCCCCAGATGCGGTCGATCGCTATAATACAATGCGTAAGAGTGCTCAAAGGAGCTCAAGACCATAGCTCGCTCTGTGACGAAGCATTCGGGTCGTCATCATCACCTTCTTCCTCGCCTCCTTCGCCCTCGTCTTCCTCTTGTTCGTCATTCTGCTCCTCTTGCCGGGCCTCTTCGGCCTCGTCTAGCTCGTCTCCATGATCCTTCGCCCCTTCTTCTTGCTGCACGTCCATGCCGTGCTCGTCCGCCTCGGATTCGGCTGCGCGCCCGGTTTCATTCTCCTCTTGAAGAGCAGCATCCGCATCAGCCGCTTCTTTCGCTCGTACTTGGGCGCGCGCTCTTCGCTCGCTGCGTATTTCCTGTAACTGTGCTTGTTTGAGACCGCGCTCCGTCGTCAAGCGCTTCAAGGCGTCCAATTGGCGATTCTGGAGCGCGCAGCGAGTAGCAGCACGTCAGAGAGACGTTTCACTAGCTGAAGAAAAATGTCACAGAGCTCTGGCACTCACCTTGATCACGATATTGGTAGCAGCATTTGCTTCGTTCGTCTTGCGTCTGACCAGCAATTCCATCTCCTTGACCGCCGCTTCCACTTGAGATTCTCTCACTCTTCGTTCGCTCTCTTCCGCATCCACATCATCATCATCATCGTCCAGATCCGGCCCATCTTGATCATCCCCTTCTCGAGCTTCCTCATCGTCCTCTCCTCCAGACTCGTCCTCTTCGTCCTCATCTCCCCAGAGATCTCCATCTCCCTCTTCCGAGGTAGCTCTGGCAGAAACGCTTCGTCCTCGACCGCCCCGCGTGTTCGAAGTGGTGACAGAAGCCGAACCTTCGTCTGAGCCCGACTCCGAATCTGACGCCTCTCCTCGCATCACAGCTTCCAATTCTGCAGCGAGCGCCATATCCACCATACCTTCACCTTCGCCTTCTTCTTCGTCTGCATACTCTTCCCGCCCTTCACCTTCAGTAGGAGCTACCGATCCGTCTCGGTCTTCACCGCCTTCGCCTCCGTCATCTTCGCCATCTCCCTCATCCCTCTCGCCATCTTCATCGCCGACCACCGAAGCGCCTTCTCCAGCGCCACCTTGAACCTCCTCTTCGTCTCCACCACCATCAGATAGATCGGCCACGTCGATCATTTCTATGCAGCGTGATCGTGCAGCGTGAGTGGATGCAAAGCGGGTATGACAGTCTGACGAGCCACGACTCACCGTACTCGAGCTTCTCTGCCCGCTTGTCGTCTGCTAGGAGCCGTTCGACCTCTTTTTCGACCGTTTCAATGACCTGTGCGCAGGGACGTGGGCTTAGGCCATGAAGTTCAAACAAAAACACGCCACACTCCAGCATCGCTCACACGTTTGTTGGTGCGCTTGCGGAAGCGCCTCTTCCTCGCGTATCTCATTGGAGGTGTGATACCGCTGTCCCAGACGTACGCGTCGGCACCTCCGCCTTTGCGATCGTTTGCGTCTTCCTCTTCCTCCCTTCTGTCGCCATCACCTCCGACTAGAAGCATCTGACTGATATCGGCAACCTTGAACAGTTGACGACCGTCCAGCGTCTTGTGCGTCTCTAGAATCGTGGGCAGGTCCACCAATTTGGCCGGCAACGCCGTATTACCAATCTTGAACGTCGCTCTACGAGAGTCTAGGATGTTGTGCTAACAAGGTCAGCAGATTCGCATGGCATGTAGCGGATACGCTGCTTGTACACTCGCTCACCTTTGAACTTGAGCTCGACATTCGCCTTGTCTGTCCCAACTGCGCGATTCCTGACCCATCCTCTCAAGGTTTCGAGTTCTGGACTGCCAGCAGCAAGTCTTAGAATGAGCTGCTCCTCAAAGGCGACGCCAGATCCCTTGCCATCTTGAGCTTCCGGTCCATCTTTCGCCACAGCCTTGGCGACACCTTCGTCGTCATCATCTGAATCATCCAGCTCCCTGGTGTAGCCCTGCATGTATGCCTCGTTCTTTGGTCCCGTGCCCGAAGTATTTCCTCCCGCACTGCCAATCGTAGATTTGAGATTGAGCTTCAACCTTCTCGCCAGACCGCCGCCCAATAGACTGGCAGCACCAGTCCCGCCATTACTTGTACCCTTCCTGCTTGATCCTCCACCTCCCTCAGCTCGAGTCTGCTCGGAGACAGCTGCAGCAGCAGCCACAGCAGCAGCTCTAGCCGACGTCCTGGCAGCCGAGAAGCCACCTGCCGCTGCTGTGCTCTGCGCAGTCCTCTTTCGTCGTCTGCGCGCAGTGCTACCTCCATCCGAGGCTGAGTCTGAATCCGCATCGTCATCTGAATCTGACGATGAGGGCCGATTCATTGCTGCGAGAGCGAGAGCAGAGGGTCGACGTGCTCTGTCTGACGACCGAGCTGCCGTCGCTGGTGCTGGTGCTGGAAAAGGCGCGGACATCGATGTCGGTACAGCAGCTGCAGATGGGGCAGCTGAGCTCGGACCCGCAACTGGCGCTTCGTTGTCCACTTCCATGCTGACGGGCGTCGTGATCAGTCCGTCAGCGTGTGGCAGAGCAACTCGGGAACCAGGCGGCAGTGGTCAATTGTACGGGAGCAATCTTGCTTGAAGTGGGAACATCAGCTTCGCTGACGAACAGGTGTTTGGGCCGGCAGCGAAAGTGTTGTGATGTGGTAAAGTCGGAGTCAAAGTCGAGTCCACGTCACACAAGTGTGAGTGCGAAGATCCGCAAGGCTTCATCTGGGGCTCCTGCTATGGCCGCGTGACTATGCATGCAGCGCATATATCCCGCAATCGGTCATCAGGGAAGCGTGCATCATGTGCATGGGCGGCCAATGCGCGTTACCTCAGCCTTGCCCGCGCCATTCCTCCACTTTGCACCATCATCCATGCCATTCGCTCTCTCAATCGCACTCACATTCACACTCACGACTGCATGTGACATCGAGCCCGACCTATCGCATTCATTGGCAACCCTTCTTAGTGCAGACCAGCTTGCTTCTTTCGTGGTTGCGATTATCGCACAGATGCGCAACGTAGCGATCGCAGCACGAAGTATAGGCGGATCAAATCGCACCCCATCTCTCGCTACACAGAGGCTCCAGTCCGTCCAATCGCATCTCGTCTCCTATCGCAACATGGCATCAACTACCTCAGCCAACAATAGCGCTGGTGGAGGAGCATCATCAGCCCCTTTCAACCCTGATCAGATGCCCACCTTTGACCCTTCACCCATCAATCCTGATCCTTTGGGAAAGGACAAGTACGTGGCCTCGGCAGGCTGCATTATCATCGGCGACGAGGTCCTCAATGGAAAGACCAAAGATAGCAATTCCAACTATTTTTCAAAGTGGTGCTTCAACCTCGGAATCGATTTGAAACGTGAGTGCGTGTGGCTACGTACACGCATGTAGGCGGTGCCCGCTGGTTACATCTCACCGGAACGCCCGCTGATCGCAATGCTCCGATCCGTCACCAGGGGTTGAGGTCATTCCCGACGATGAGGACGACATTGTCGAGACGGCCAGGCGCATGGCCAGCAAGTATGACCTCGTCATCAGCTCGGTGAGGTCCGCTTGCGTCCGTCGAGATTTAGCCGTGGGGTTGATGACCTCATGCTTTGGCTCTGCCATCCTAGGGTGGCATCGGACCAACTCCGGATGATATCACGTATCAGAGCATGGCGAAGGTGAGGCGCCTGTCGCGCGCACATCGTCCCCAACAGACTTAGGCTCATTGTCTCTCATCTCGTGTGCCAGGCCTTTTCGGATGGGAAGCTCGAGCACCATCAAGAGACGCTGAGGCGCATGGAGCTGAACCTCAAGGCTCGTAGGCGAGACGTCTCGGGGACTGAAGAGGTGAGCGACAAGGGCAGGCAGCTTCTCGAAGGCTCGCTGACATGTGGTACAACCTCGACTCGCAGATGATGACCGCTCGAAAGCGCATGGCCTTGTTTCCCGTCTCGTCATCCAACTCTTCCGTCGAGGTAATCTTTCCCACCACGCAGCTCTGGGTTCCCGTCGTTCGTCTTTCTGGAAAAGTCTGCATCTTGCCTGGCGTGCCTCGACTCTTTGAAGGGCTACTCGACGGCTTGGAAAAGTACGTTCCCATTGATCCCAACAGACCTAGACCTTATCGATTGTTGGTGCACACCAAATGGCCAGAAAGCAACATTTCTCCTTTCTTGGTCGAGTTGACGGAAAAGTGCAAAAAGGAGGGCATCAAAGTCGGCAGTTATCCCAAGGTAAGTTTGGCGTTGTCTGAGCGGGCACCTACGGGGGCAAATGCGCCAACGTCTACAATCAACGATGCTGACCTTGCGTCTGTGCTTGATCGGCTCCGCTCGCCCATCAGTGGAACTCCGGCGTGGACGTTTCGCTCATCGGCGAAGATTTGGCCCGCCTACAAGAGCTCGGAAGCGAAGTGGAAAAGGCGGTGGAGGGCAAGATCACCACGGCTGGCAAGATCGGCGAAGAGTCCAGTTGAGATGAATCCTTCTTTGCGTGTGATACAACGAACGACGACTACATGCCCTCCCCACTCTATGGTCGTGCTAGCGCTCGGCGGAAAGCTCCACCCGGGAGCCTTTAGCATTTGCCTTTGCGTCCCATTCACATCACCGTGCCGCACGGAGAATGCCCGTTGTCGCTTGGGCCCTCGCACCCCACATCGCTCTCTGTCCTTCTCGTACAATGTTGCCATCGAATGCCTGACGTCCGATGTCCTCTCACTTGCTTATTTTGACACCGCCTGAAAGAGCGACCATGCTCCTGAAATGATTGTCATCTTCAACACCCAGCTTGCACGCACGCGCAGTGAGATTCATGCGAATCATTACACAGCGAACACGCACTGCAGGTGCTGCCTCGTGGACAGCAAACTTGGAATCCCACATCACACCATGCGTATCTTGTTACATAACTTGGAAAGACAAAACAGCCCGGGAGTCGAAGAGTCGAGGAACAGAGAATGGAGTCAGCTTGCGATGGGTGAGTGGGAATCAGCTTGATGCAGCAGGGAGTCTGTGCGTGCGCTAGCAGGGTAGGAGCACGCTCTGCACGAAATGCCTCTGTGGGCAACCGACTTCGCAGCTCGCGAGCAGGATGGCTGCTTTTTTACAAAGTCCCGACGGCTCCGCCAGCCCTTCTCGCTCTGCAAAAGGCCCCCAAGCACGCGCTCAACCCCTTCTCGCGCCCTCGTCAGCGTCTAGGTAGGACCGCCGGTCTAGCAGCATCCGCCCTTTTTGGCGTTGCCTCCATCATCTGCCGATGGTTGCACTGTGATCGTCTCTCCGCCGCTGGGCTTGATGACATCGTCTGAGCTTTGCAAAGCCTTGTTTGAGACGATGCGATAAATTTCTGAGAGGGTTGGACAGAAGGCACACCTAGTGAGACATCCGCACTTTGAGATCGGCCTCACAATCGCACTCCGACTTACCAGTCAAGATGTTCTGGAAAGCCTGTTCGACATTCGAAGCGTCGAGAGCAGAAGTCTCAATGAACGAGAGGTTATTCTCTTGAGCAAAAGCTTTGGCCTCCTCGGTGGGCACAGCGCGCAAGTGGCGCAAATCGCTCTTGTTTCCGACCAACATGATCACAATGTTGCTGTCCGCATGGTCCCTCAACTCTTTGAGCCAACGACTGACGTTGACGTATGTCGGGTGCTTGGCAATATCGTACACCAGCAAGGCACCTACAGCTCCTCGGTAGTAGGCAGATGTGATGGCTCGGTATCGCTCCTGGCCAGCTGCGAGAGACAAAAGCGCGTGCTCGATCAGCATCGCTAGGCGCTCGGAGGGGCAGGTACAATTTCTCATTTGGGCAAAACCCTCGAGCCTGTGCGCTGATGAGGCACGACCCGGCCAAGCTGCACGGTGCGGATGATAGGCTGTGGTAGAGGTCGGTTGCGCCCGTGTCCATGCGAGGCCTTGCCGAGAGCCAGCTGAGGTGCGACAAATCCATATGGATGCAGATTTCATGCTATCGCAGAGGCGCTCACCGCTCACACCTCAGTGAGATACTGCGGATGGCTTCCAAAAAGCACCGCTCCTTTTAGACGAGAAGCAAGTGGCCTGTCGCCGCTTTCGTTGTCGTCTCTCAACCAGGCTCCACGCGTGTGCGTTCCTCTTTAACACCGAGCGATCAAGCATACATCCTTGTCCGCCCGGAGAGCTCAGGCACTCACCAGTGTCCCAGATCTGAGCCTTGACAGTCTTTCCATCCACAGCGATGGATCTAGTGGCGAACTCGACACCAATAGTGCTCTTGCTCTCCAGGCTGAACTCGTTCCTGGTGAATCGAGACAAAAGGTTGGATTTACCTGTGCCACTGTCTCCGATCAGAACCACCTTGAACTGAGGGTGCGCGCAGACGATGTGGAGGAGCACATCAAAAGAGTGGATGATTGAGCATTTGTGATCGTGCGTACAGTGAGCATATGCTCAAACGTGACCTTACTACTTACCAGAAAGTCGTAATTGGATTCCGCAGCCATTTCGTCTGGATGGTGAGATGGCAGCTGTCGGTTGTACTGGCTAAAGTCCTGCAAATTCTTTCCCAAAGTGTGCTTGGGTCACCTGGGAATCGGACAAGAGACTCGAAGACAATCTGTGTACCGGGTCCGGTGTACGCGTGACTTTGATCTCCGTGCGTCGGATGAGCAGATCTACGCCAAGGTGATGTATGGAAAGCTTTCGATTCAGATGGTGGTGTCTGGAGTGATTACTTGAGACCGGCGCTGAAGATGAGCAGATTGACGAGCGCAGTCGCCATGTGTCTTGACGAAAGGGTGATGGTGGAGTCACGTTGAAGGGTGTGCACGCTCGGCATCAGTCACAAGCTCAAAATTGGAGGCAACATGCAGCAGCAGCGATACACCGACTCGGCGAGCCCACGCATCAATCAGTCGTGAGTCAAGTCACGGGTCACAAGTCTTTGTCTCACCGCCTGCCCGCGGTAGGGCTGTGTGCGCGCCGCGCGTTGATGCGTGTAAAGACCGCGCACAACACCAGCAAAGGCGTGACCGGACAAGGCGCGCATCCCCGCCCGCGTCGTGCCCATCAGAGGAGTCCGCAGACGCATGATGCACTTGCCTGCATGAGCCTTATAATCATGACTTGCTCGACACGCCTGCAAGGATATTCACATTCACGATTGCACAGCTCTTCTCAGCCTTTCTCCAGCGCGCACGACTCTCAGCTGCATGGCTAGCTGGTGTCTAGCTGGCCATGCATGATCGAGCACACTCAAGGTCCGCCTTGCTAGCAGCAACGCAGGCCGCTGGCATTCCCCAGACATATCGGACACGTGAGATCACGAGCGGTGTCGCTCTTGACTTCACGCCTAGGAAGCCTCTCACAACATACAGCGACTCAATGATGACTTGGACTTTCGACTTTCTTTGTAATTCTTAATATTGGTGCTCTCTCTCTCCCTCTCTCTTGCTCGGTTCATATGCACGGCGTGAAAGAGATCTAGGGCATGGCTACCGTGGAGCACATTATTCTATTCTCGCGCACGCACATTCGTCTCGATGGGTGACCTTATGATGTTGCCAAACCGGCCCTCGAACAAATCACATGTTCAGCGCGGACGAGACCATTGCTACTCTCTTGCAACTCGAGCGTCTAGCTGCGCAAGCTCCTGCCCTTGCTCTTCCCAGGTGGCAAAGCGTAGAAAAGCCCCCCAGCATGTTCCCCGGAAGGGCTTTCGATTTCCAATTCAGCACCGGCTGACAGGGCAGCCGATTCCTGCGCAGCTTTGCTGTTCGCCAGCCCATGCCCACTGCCGCTGGCGCCTCCGATCGATGTAGCCGCCGAGCTGGTGTTTTGCAGAACGTCAAACTTGTCCACCAGCTCGTTTGTAAGGTGTAGAGACTGAGTCAGGCTGCCCAGGTATTGAGTGAGTAGCACATCAGAGTATTCCTAGGGTGAATGCGAGGCGCATGTAAGCTTGGAGCGGCGGCCCACTTCCGCGCTGCAGCTTTCAGCTCACCGTGTGATACTCTTCCATGAACTCCTCCACTTCGTCCATCCGCGGCAAAGCAGCTAGCACAGCTTTGACCTGTCGCAGCGCCTCTTCATCTCGTGTGACACTCCCAGCCAAGATTCCCTGCACGTATCCATGTACCGTCTGTATGCGTTCTGCAAGCATCGATATCGCACTGTGTTGTGTCTTCAAGGTGGCCACGACTGCGGGAGCAATGACAGGACACATTACGTCAATAAGATGCTCTCAGCTACGTCGCTAAGAAAAGGCATGGACTCACGTCGACTTTCTGATCCATCGCTACTGCTCTCGGCAGGCTTGCTCGTGTAGTCGACCGCGATCCTCTCCGCTTCCCCGGTTCTCAGCTCGTACTTCGCTGGCACAAATACGATGCTCGGCTCGCGCGTGGCCACCTCTAAGTTGCTGGCTTGAGAAGATGGCTCGCCTTCGGTGACGTCCATTGCATCGTCCGAAGCAGCATGCTCCGTCATCCCTCTATTGCCAAGGCGATCTGTCACGGCAGGCTGGCTCATGGCATGAGACCCATCAAAGTCGAGCAATGCTTCATACACTGTGACTGGCAGCTCCGCTCGACCCTTGGCGTGAGTCAGCGCTTCCGTGGTGGGAGCCAGTTGGAGAAACAATGGAGACTCGTTGTGTTCGAGTAGCTGCGAGCAATGAAGCCGGAGTCAGCACGGTGGGAACAAAGGGCACAGATTGAAGAGTCACACACCTGCTTGTGTATGGACAGGTCCTGTGCGCTCGGCGCTACGCCGACTCCATACCATCCGAGAAAGTCGAGCGTGGGAAAGACTTGCTTGACTGGAGGCGGTAATCAAGCTCACAGGGATCAACTCTGGCTCCATCAGGAGCATTCGTAACGGACTCACACTGTGCAAAGCGCTTATCGAGCCATTCTTGGTCGATTGTGAGCACAGCGCGAGAAGTGTGAGAAGCGGTAGCGTTGCTAGTACTACTGCTGGCCACCTTTATCTCGAAGGAATTTTGGATTTGGACTTCTCTGCCGTGTTGCGTCCCGAGCAGAGCGCCATAGACTGGAGGCATAGACGCAGCTAGTCAGAAATGTCGTCGTGATTCGCTTGAGAGCAAGTCGAGAATCGTATGGCTCACCAAAGGGACCAGCATCATCGTTCCTATCGCGATGCCTTTGTGATACCTCTCGAGTTAGGTGCTCCGAAATGCTCAATATGGGAAGGGGATGTCTGCAGAAGGGAGGCGTCGAGTCTAGTCAGCGACATGTAGCGAACGTCATGTGAGCTTTGAGCACTGACAAAGAGATGGTCACGCTCACATCCCCGCCTTTCGTAGTGGAAGACGTCCCGACTTGAGCAGAGCCCGATGAAGACGCCATGGCCGTCACTGTCGACCTGAGTAGCTTCGAGGGCGGAGCTGATTGATCCAAGCTGCGAGAGTCCTCTCGCACGATATTGTTGACGCTGGTAATGCGCAATTCACAGTTTGAGTGGTACGAGATTCTGGGTCGCGTGTAGTCGACTGCGAGATGTACGATATCGACATCGTTTTCCATCCTCCCATTCTCGCTAGGCAGCGGAGTGATTTAAGCGGCTGAAGCCTGCTTTAGAGCTCCACACGATCGGCTCTTGATGATGTGCAGCACGAACTCAGCCGGCTCAGACCTCTTTGCACGTGACGCGCACGGCTCAAATCTCTTGAATCTTGAATGCGCGCCCGCGGTGCAGACTCGGCGGGCGGCTTATCCGTGCGCACGCAGGCACCGTGTGCTCGCCGGCAGCTCCATAGACAGCGCATGCATACATGCATGCTCCCATGGACGATGCAGAGACCAAAAGTTGCACGCACGGCACGCACGCTGGTCTGCTCGATCCACCCGCGTACCGACTGTACCAGCAAGCTGCTACTCACCACCGTCACGTACTCCCGACAGCTTCTTGCACCGCTCGCGATCTGGTCAGCTGAGCTGCAACGACTCCAACAACCTGTCATTCACTCCGCTCACCCACACTATGATCGGCGCTTTCCGCACCCTCCCTCGCGCAGGGGCGCAAAACCTCCGCACAGCATCATTGATGTTCGCCTCTCGCTCCGGCGGAGCTGCACAACAGGTGCGCAACCTGTCCATTCACGAGTATCAGTCTATGGAATTGCTGGGCAAATATGGCATCGCAACACCCAAGAGCGTCGCTGCCAAGACTGCGGACGAAGCTGCCAGTGTTTTTGAGAAGCATTTCCCAAAAGGCGCTGTGATCAAGGCTCAGGTGTTGGCAGGAGGCAGAGGAAAAGGTCATTTTGAGGGAGGCCTGAAGGGAGGTGTGCACGTCGTCAAGAGGTGAGTGCACAAGGGCGGTCAGGTGCCTCGATCAGCACCTCAGGGGGACTTGAGTGCTGATTCTCCCAATCTTATCGTTCCCTAGTGCCGAGGAAGCCAAGAAAATTGCTTCTCAGATGCTTGGACACAAGCTCATCACCAAGCAGACTGGCGCTGGCGGTCGTATCTGCAACGCAGTCATGCTGGCTGAATTGCGCACACCAGCGCACGAGTACTACATTGCAGTTCTAAACGATCGTTCAACCCAGCTTCCTGTGCTCATCGCATCCAACCAAGGAGGCATGTCGATCGAGGATGTTGCCAAGGAGAATCCCGACGCGATCATCACCACGCCCATCGATTTCACCAAGGGTCTGACGCAAGACAAGGCTCTCGAAATTGCCAAGAAGCTCGGTTTCTCCAAGCCTGAGCTGGAGCAGCAAGCAGCAGAGACGTTTGTGAAGCTATACACGCTGTTCAAGGAGAAGGACGCTACGCAAGTAGAGATCAACCCTTTGGCGGAGAGCCAGGATGGTGCGGTGCTGTGCATGGATGCAAAGCTGGGCTTCGATGACAATGCCGATTTCCGCCAGCAAGATATTTTCAAGCTTCGCGACACGACTCAAGAGGACCCCGATGAGGTGGAAGCTGCAAAGAGCGGGTTGAACTTTATCAAGCTGGATGGAAACATTGGCTGCTTGGTCAACGGTGCCGGACTGGCCATGGCTACGATGGATACTCTGAAGCTGAACGGTGGTAACCCTGCCAATTTCTTGGACGTCGGAGGAGGCGCAACTGCCGAGGCGGTCAAAAAGGCATTCGAATTGCTGCTCTCTGCCAACCCCAAGGCTCTATTTGTCAACATCTTTGGAGGCATCATGCGCTGCGACGTCATTGCGGATGGAATTATCCAGGCTACAAAGGAGTTGGAACTCAAGGTGCCTCTGGTTGTGAGGCTGCAGGGAACAAAGGAAGCTGAAGCTAAAGCTATGATCAAGGAGTCCAAGATGAAGATTTTTGCATTTGATGATCTGGATGAAGCGGCATCCAAGGCTGTCGAGGCGGCTGCCAAGGGCACTCTGTGAACGCGATATAGACTCTGCAAACATGAACGCAATGCAATCGAGTTTGTGACTGCTATGGGCGCGGTCATGCGTCGCTGACGGTCGCTGTTGATTGAGACGCGGCCGACCTGAAGGGAGTTCAAGGTTGGAGGCTTGAAAGACGGACAAGTGGTGCTCGTGGTGGACAGTCCGGTCCGGCAGTCGCGTCAGCCGTGAATTGCGAATATTGCCACGGTGCATTACTTTCTCACCCACGAATGCGGCAAGTGGCAGGCATCGTCGCGCGGATCAGTAGCCTGCGCACTCAGCAAGCCAAAGAGCTCGTGGGATCACGCTCTTACACACCGCCAAGCAAATAGAGTCCTTGGACTCGTCTTGTACGATTTCTTGACTCGATGTCTGCGAGCTTGGTCGAGCTGCAGCATACGTCTGTGCGTGTCGAACATTTCCGAGCCACGAGGAGTTCCCCACTAGCGAATTCAAGCAGACCAAAATTTTGATTCGAGAGCAGCATGAATGCAGCGATATAGTTGATCATGACCCGAATCACAAGTGATAGCAGCTCTAAGATCATGGCTGCTCAGCGACCATGCATGGATGCCGCCTACCTCGATTGATTGACCATCAGCAGTCACACACGTGTACTCGACTCAGACTCAGGTCTTTGCGTACTGACTCACACCTGCTATAACGTCACGCACGCTGTAATACCCGCGCGCATTCTTCCCTAGCTTCTACGTACGCGGCTGACCGCGGGCGCAGCCATGCATGTGCAATTTGATGCTTTCATTTTCGTGATTGCAATCACGAATGTCGACAGCCAAACACCATTCATTGATCGCTGCTGCTTTGAGACTGCTGTCAAGCCAGGCATGCAAATCAGCCCTTTCCACCAAGCGAGGACTCGTGACTTTATGAAGCATGAGCTCTGTTGGATGTTGAACGGTGGTCAGTGCCATGCCCGTGGCGCAAGTATACTGGCCGATCGGTGCATGCTGCACACATCACATTCGTGATGGTCAGAATAGCTGCGTGGGCGCTGATGAAGTACATCATTCTGGTTCGTTAGCGGCGCTTACCAGTGCGAAGATAGCACCCACATGGCAAGACGCTCAATTCTGTTTGCTGGATAGGTGGAGTAGATGTTGACGTTTGCTGGCTTGGAGGATGAGCGTACATTGACCTCCCTCGATCATTCGAGTCTACTCGATGCGCCGATCACCTTCTTCGACGCTCCCAACCCTCTTTCGACACATTTGCGTGTTTCGTGATCCCATTCATGCATCCTTCCAGCGCTTCTCTACTTCCAAAGATCTGCACTCCTCACTCACCCTATCTCAGCGCTTCAGGTATTCTCTATCGTTCGCAACGATGTCCCTTCAGATGCACGGCCTCACCATCCGAGCTGCGCTCACATCACTGGATGGACGATCAGCCAAGTATCTCGCTATTCATGACATCCATCCCATTCGTCACGGCTGCGACATTTCTGACGGCGACGTTGGCAAGCATTCTACGAATCCTCGAAGAGGCGGCGACGCAGACGAGAGCGAGAGCGAAGAGGAAGCAGAAGAGCTGCAAGCTGGTCACCAGAACCGTCACAGCGGTCGTACAGCAAGTCCCATGCACGAAAAGGTCCCTTGTTCGGTGTCGGCCAGCTATGTCGCACCGATCGAGGAGGATATGATGTGGATAGTGGAGTATAGCCCTGTTGAAGCTGGCTTTAGGTGCCCCGTCCCTTTTATGGTCTACGTCGAGCATACCAATGCGGATGGCGATGAGCTGTTCCGCAGAGTCAACTTTAAGGATCCTCTCCTGCGTCGACAGAGCATCGAATTAGGACGTTTGAATGGCGAGGTCAAAGGCCATCTGTATGCCTTTAGCACTTCTGCATCTGTGAGTCTCACTTTTAAAGATGTCTCCAACCTCTGCTGACGCAGCATTCTATCCACACCGCTGTTTCGCTGACAGACGACGACATTCTCCATTTATCTGGGTCTCGCTTCTAGACGCAACGGGAGAGATGTGCAATGGGCCGACAGTCCGTGCCACAGGTTCAAGCTGCTCCACATCGAAGGTGATGCTCAGCTGACCGGGGAAGAATTGAGTCTTCAAACCACTTCGCAATCGATTCCTCCAGTCGGACTAGATGAGGGCGTTCAAGTCGACCAACGCGGTGGCCTTTTGGGTTCTTCGCCCGGCAAGCGCAAACGCACGACCGAGGACGAGATCAACGTCTCGGCCTTGTTGCAGCGTCATGGAGCGCCTCGTCCATCTGATCGTTGCAATAGCAGTGCTACAGATGTGGAACCCGTACGAGCTTCCTTGGAGCGCACCGTCATCGAGTTGAGCTCCACTACAAACGGATCTGGCTTCCTCGAGGCTTTGGACTGCAAGGAGAAGGTGACTGAATGTAAGGTCAGGCCAGCTGAAGAGGACGACAGTGTGGAGGAGCAGGGGTTTTTGCCTAGGAGGACCGCAGCTCAGCTTGCGGCGCTCCAAGACGACAAGGCGCAGATGGCGAGGGCTATGGCGAGGGCTCATGCGCAGGATGCGATCGACGACGAGCAAGATGACGACTCGGCCATCGTCAAGCCCGAAGTGGAACAGCAGCGTAGACGCGCTGACCAAGCAAATTCTGGCAAAAGCATCCTTGAGAAATGTCTGAGGGACGAAGCGGACAAGTATCAGCGCTTGCGCAAGATTTGGGCGCGTCAGTGAGTTTCAAAAATCGAGGTGGCACTGCATGCCCGTGCGTGGCGCGCTCCATTCTGAGATTTTGGCTCTGTCTTCGCAGGGAAGAAATTCCGGATGCGAAAGAAGAGGAGAGGGATGAAGCGATTCGCCGACACACCATTTCGATGCAGAACAAGGAAAAGAAGCATCAAGCTCATTTGCGCAAGATAGAAGAAAAGTTCGAAGAGGAGCAAGAACACCTGAGCGCAGAGCGCGAGAGACTTCAAGATGAGTGGGAACAGGCAAAGTTGGATGTCAGGGCTACTAGAAGCAGATTCAACTTGCCCGATATTACGCCCGTCGTTGACCTGCTTGCCGACGACTCTGGAGACGAAGAGCGAATGCAAGCATAGCGCTCACAAGAGTTTCAATGCGAGCCGCTCATCACGAGTCTTTCCGACTGCTACCCTTCGTCCGTACGACTCGTGACTGTCTCGATACATCCAGGACCCAATTCCCGCTCCTGCGCCGTGCGCCGTGTCTTTGATGTGCTCCGACTCTATAGCTATGAGAATCTTGTCCCAAGATTCAGCTTCATGAGAATGACCTATCCGCTCCAGAAACATGCGCATTGAGTCGCGCATCCAGCATGATCAAGCTTCATCCTTTTATGATGTGATGGCAGGTGCGTAGATATTTTGCCTTCTCCGCAGTCAGAAGCTGGGAGTCTTGAGTCAAGCGTCGGGGCGCGGGTGTTGGATGCTCACGCGCTCGCGCTAGCTGCCGCACGACACGTGATCGACTCTTCGCCCGCCTGGCGCGCAAACGCGCCTTAGGGTCTCGATGAATTCACGATTTGAAATCGGAATCGAGCCCGTGTTCACGCGGACACGCGCTCCTCAGCTCTCGATCTCCATCACGATCAAAGAATGCACGAATACGGATCTGATGTTGCCACTAGATGAGCGTGATGCTCAGTCATTCGCTCAACAGGAAAGACACTAGAACCTCTCTGAATCGAACGCGAGCTGAATGGGCGAGAAGGGCGCAGTGAAGATCCAAAGCGGCCAGCATTGAGTGCGCCGTCCCATGCAATGTAGCCTAGCTCTGGCGCTCGAAACGCTGCTGTGACTCCAAAGGCTGAACAAGACGCGCCTTGTTTGCCAAGCTAGGGCAGAAAACACCCTGAACACAAGGTGATTGCAACGCACTACCCTCGAAATGTCGCCGGAGATGCCGCGACAAAACATCAGCAACGAAGTGGCCAGATCGAGATTTGGCACTCTGGGTGTTTATTGGGCGCATCCCTGGTGCGCCGAGGCTGTACGTGCCGATCGTGTTGCCAGCAAAGATGCGATAGTTCTCGCAACTTTTGGCTTTGCGAGGCATGTCGCACTGCACCGTACCAGGCTGAGAAATGGCCGGAAGATTGTGAAGGGCCAGCGCGCTCAGCACGCCCGGCCGCTTACATGCATCCTTGACCGCAGGCAAGAGTGAGAACGGGACTTTGGGGTTTGGGCAATCATGTGCGGGCGCTCGCGCAGCCGTGGCGCCCAGTGCACGCCAATCGTGAACCAAGAGGCGAACGCCCACATCCGCGTGCTTTGGCGCTTTCATCCGCCCTTCCCCCAGCATTCACGCTTGCTTGGCTGGCATTTCGCCGAGAGGGAGCAAGCAAGACTCAGCCAACGACGACGAAGCTTTGTGAGAAGCGTGGTAATATACTCACACTGGCATCTACATCAGAATTCAACGTCGCCAAGACCGCGGTGGCCCGTGGTGCCTGAGATGTTTTGAGATGGCGTCTCCTAGGCTCTTTGGCCCGCCCCTGGCGCAATGGACAAACCTCTTTTACCTGGCAAACACAGCTCAGGGCGCTCAAGCTACTCAGTCCTTACGGCAGAAAACAACTACAACCGCCTGGGCGCCTCTTCTGTAACCTGCTTCAGGGCTGCTGCATAAGCTTTCCAATGTCTTTGCGTTCGTGTGCGATGAGTCGCAAAATATGCTTACAGAGCTGGCTCTCAGCGGCTGCACAACAACAACAACAGTAGGGACCTCGAGCTTGAGCGTCGAGTGGCGTATAAGAAGGGCTTCGTTATCCTCGCAAGAGTCCCCGTTGCGCTCAGCCACCTCTTGTCGTCTGCCACCAACCTCTCCTCCGAATCATCCTATTCGCGACATCCTCACCTTCACAGCAGGTCTGTGCTGGTCGCACCTGCCTTCAGAGCAGTACGCTTCAAATAGCTTCCATCAATCTCGCTGCGTCATTCCGCTATAATTCTTCACAAGTCACATCAAACATTCGTCAAGAATGCAGGTCAACTCTGTCACCTTCGCGCTGGCCGTTCTGTGAGTGTTAGCTCCAGCTCCCAAAGCGCACTCCTTCTTACGCTCACTTGATGTTTGCATCCGTAGAGCCGGGCTAGCGGCTGCCTTCCCAGTCACCTTGCCCGACAATCACAATAGTCCTGAAATTAGCGTGAGTAGCTTTCGTCGTTATTTGCGTGAAGCGTCCGTCTCTTGAGTTGCGCCTGCCATCCATCGTGCCCCGTATTTTCGCAGGCGCAGAAGAATTCGCTTCAGGCTCGCGATCCTCGTCCCCAAGGATTTCCTGCAGCAAAGTACGATCCCACGCACAGTAGCAGAGAGAAAGAAACCTTCAAGGCTATGACGCCGGGTCCCGAAAAGTACAATCAAGAGCCGTTCAAGATGCCAGAAGGACTCAAGCATAATGGATCGGGACATCCTAGCGAGACGAACCATGACAAAGGGCACGGTTCAGGCTATGTTCCTGCAAACTTTGACAATGAGCCCGGGAAGAAGAATGGGGGTCATACGCCCAAAAGCTTTGGTCCAGGCCGAGAAAGTCTCGGCGAGCTGCCTCACAAGAAGCAGAGCGAGACGTTCAACTGGGGCATTGGTCCTGAGCGCCTTGAGCCGGAGCCTGGAAGAACAAAGACGACGGCGTCTCGGTCGCCGTACAATCCGAACGGTGCCTGGAACGGTTTGCCCAACGGTCACACCGGGGGAAGAGGTGACAAACCGGTCGTCAGGGGGGCAAAAACGCCAATGTTCGATCAAAGTTTCATTCCCATGGGACGCACCGGAGGCGGAGCCTACCATTTGGATCGTCGATCTGAGCCCGGCGTGGACGTGAGTAACAAAACAATGCGAAGGCGAATGGCGCACGCTGCCCATGTCTGACCCGCTCGTCAAGTCTTGCACTTCAGGACGGAGCCGGCTCGCTTGAAGCTCGTGCTCATACACCTGGCAAGAAATCAGAGGAGTCTGATCCCGAAAAGACGGTCAAGAAGTACAAGCACAAGCATGAGCACCATAACCAAGGTCAAGGCTCTGGGGTGGGGCCAACCAAAAGTGGTACCGGCTTTGTCAATCCGTTCGCCAATCATCTCGCCACGGCAGAGGAGAAAGGGCGCGTCGAGAGATCAGCGATGCACGAAGCAAGCAGATTTGGCGGAGCGGGTCTCGCGCCTGGAACGCTTCATCTGGATCGACGCTCTAAGCAAGGCGTCAAGGTAAGCGAGCAAGATGCGTGCTTGGGTCCCGCTTACATTGCCTTACCTGCTTCTGCCTCTTCCCTCTGCAGCTCGACGCTGAGGCGCTCGAAGCTCGCGACGGGCATACCGCGGTAGCCTCCCCTACTACCGCTGAATCGGGTTTTGGCAAGAGAAGCCCTCAGCCACAGGAGGGAGTTTGGCAGGCAGAGGTGCTCCAAGCCCGTCAAACCACCTGGGAGCAAGCCGAGCAGAATCTTCGCGATCGCCAAAAGCTGTTGAAGGAAAATAAGGAATATCTGAAAAAGATGCGCGCAGCCAAGTCCGGTCCTCGTCATCGGAGGGAAATCGAGGAGCGCGCTTCGACGATCGAGGCCCGACATGCCGCCTCGAGAGACTTTCAAGCTTCCCTGCTTCGCAGAGACGATTGCGGTTTCCCGAACCAGTACTCGCAGGCATGCCGACAGCAGCAAGAGCAGCAGCGGCAGGCGAAGGAATTTGAACGGGCAATGGAGCGGCATCGCCAGCAGCAGAAGCTTGCGGGCAAGCCCAAAACACCCAAAACGCCCCCAGGTCATGCGCGGGGCGGCGAAGAGCCAATTGGAACTAGAGACGTAGTACAGCCTGTCCAGCAGATCGATCGGCGTTGGAAGTCGTTTGAGGAGCTTAAGAAAGGTCACCGTTCTTTCAAGGAGATCTACGATCCAAATCAGTCCAAATCGGCAGTTCCAGCAGCTGCTGCCCCTGGAGGAGGCCCTCATCGCAGAAGAGACATCCAGGAGCCCAATCATGCTGGCGCGGCCCAGATCATTGAGAGCAGAAATCAGAAGCTCGAAGATTTCTTCAAGCAGTATAATAAGACGGTGGACGCGTTGAGAAGCTTCCACATTGGTCGGAAAAGAGATGTCGAGGTGAGCTGCGGCCAATGTGGACGATTCGATGCTCGGGCTACATGTTGACGCAACCGTTTCGGATCATTCTAACAAGCGCTCCGATGCGGTCGAGCTGCGGTCGCGGTCGACAATGTTGCTGATCAACAGGCACTCGCGCGCCAAAGAGCGTTGGATGAACAGAGGCTGGGGGTCTGGTTCTACCTCATCGATACCCGGTTCCTCGGCGTCGTCGCCTGAATATCGAAAGAAGAAAATTCTCCCAAGGCGCCCGCGAGGTGTGCCAGCGATGATGATGAGGATTTGAATCGCGCGGAAGCGACTTTGCGGATGGGAAGAGAAGAGGCCTTTCTTGAACGGCTACGCGGTGAAGTAGGCGGTAAAGGACGTCGCTTTGGAGGAGGTCGCGACAGAGGGGGGGGGGGGGGGGGGGGGGGGGGGGGGGGGGGGGGGGGGGGGGGGGGGTCTGGGAGATGCGGCCACTCGCTAGGCTACTTTCGTCGCCCCTCGAAAGGTAGAAGAATTCCCTCTCACTGCTCTTCTAACCTGCCATTCTGACCTCACCGACAAAGCACTGGGATGCTTCGTCGCACCGAGAGGTCCCTTTCTATGGCTCCTCGACCGGTCCATCCCACAGCGCCAGCACAAGTGCCTTTCTCGGTCAATTGTGAGACATCAGCAGGCCTTCATACGACAACGATCAAATCTCCCATTCATCGCCAGCTGCTTTCAACACATTCTTTCGAGGTGCACCGCAACCCCTCTGACCGGTCAGAGCTACTTTTCCGAGATAACGGATTTCGCTGATCTCCAGAGAGAGCGGTCGTCGTAGGCGTCACGGCATTTGACCTACCGTTTGTAGCCGTGCGCATATCCAGACTCCAAACGCCACCACACATCCACCTGCAATGCTTCGTTGCGACGCATTTCCCCGCACTGCGCAGAGCAGGCCAGCAGGGAGATGAGACAAGTGACCTCGCATGCGAGTGCCCAATCATCTTGCGCGATGTCATGCGCTCCCTCATTGCCTCGGCCTTGCGAGGAAACGATGATGTCCGCACGGAAGACCCACCGCTTGGTCCGCGTGACTTGCAGCTTTGCGAAGAAGAGGTGCCTCTTGCGGATGTGGGACAGCACACTGTGGCTTGGCGCGCATAAGCCCGAGCAGACGGGCCTCTGGTCCCGCTTCGGCAGGTGGCGAGCACGCAAGAACGCACGGATTGGAAGAAGTCTGGACGGTGGCAAATGGCGCCAGTCGGCCTTTGACGAACAGCATGACCGGTCATGCCATTGAATCTTGGATAACGACCGTGACATAACCTTGAAGATATCTTGCATGAAAGCAGAACGTGTGACACAGTCTTGCGCGACAGATAAGCAAACGTATCGGTCGAGCGTGGTGGGTAGCACTTCCACACGTCAAGTCCGAAGTGCGTTCCTCATAGGTGCGATGGATGCACTGCACTTGCGCTCGCATGACAGCGTGCATGGCTCGACGGGCAAAACGGCTGCATGTCCGTGGAAAGACCGAGGGGCTGATTCTACGACTGGAAGGCGCTTCGCGAGTGTCCCCAGAGCACTTGCCGCGTCGAGACTCGTCCACGGTCCACCGAGACTTGCACCGACAAGTCAAGAACGGACCTCGTGGTTCTTCCTCTGCAGTGAATCCTGCCGGCCAGTCATCGCGTGCTGCCCCAAGCTAAGGCGTTCGTTCCACTCGACTTTCCTCGCCAGTGAAGTCGGACGACCGAGGCACCGAATACTCATTGAGTGGACTTGTGACTCCAAGAGCTCTGCAGGGCCACATTTCGATCGAGATAGTGGCAACGAACGATTTCAGCAACTCGAGAGCACCACGCCTCCGGCTGAAGCCGCACTGCTGGTGCCAGCTCCCAAAGCGATCATTAGGAAGAAGAAGTGCGATTCAGCGACACTTCTGCTGTGTTCCTGCGGACGGCGGTATACACAAGGAGTGTGAGCCCGCAGAAGCAAGGCAGATCCCTGGATGGCATGGGAGCGCAAGCACTTCCGCCAATTGAAGTGAGACCATGCGGTTTGTCAGTCTGCCTATTCGGCAGGGATCCGAAGAGTAAAGCACGTAAGGCAAAGCGCAGGGCTTCCCAGGGTCTTTTGGTGTTATCTGCGCGGCAGTCGTTTGCCCGCTCAGATTGAAGCTCAGACGACCTCGCGCATTAGCGCGAAAAGGCGGAACTGAAGCGTTGGCAGTCTCGGCAACACAGGCCGAGTACCTGCTCGCTCGGGCTCCAAAGGTGGATCTGCACATCCTTGCTGATATGCGGACTCTGGACCTGGACCGGCGGGCAAAACGGCGTGAAGAGCGAAGGTGAGCTTGCAGCAAGCAGCAGGATCCGCGGCGGAGTCGAGAGAGCAGGCAGCAATGAGTGATGAGAGAGCTAGGAACGACTCGCTTCTCGCTTCTCACGCCAGCAGCTGGGTGGGCAAAGGCGGGCTTTCGTGATGCCTTGCTGCAATTTGAATTCCACCTGTCGTGTGAGTGTCCATATCGGGCCAGTAGGCTGTGTTCTGTCTCGCCTGTAGATGCGGTGGTGCACCACCGCGCAAGCCACTTGTCATGCGAGCTCGACCAACCTGTTTCCTCACGTTTGTCCATGAACGTCTCGACATCGTGCGACCGCGTGCTTCGGAGAGTTGCCTGTCGTGTGCCTGTGTCAGGCACAAATTGAGCCGTTGTGGCGTCCTATTGAGGTTGGTGTCGGTCCAGCATCATCGTGAAACAGACCCGTTCTTTATCATTGATGAGAGCCAGATGGCAGGAGCGCCCGATTTCTAGCAAGGGAACTGAGTCTGGCCGTGGGTAGCAGCGTCGTACGTACGGTCTGGCATCCGGCTCATGGGTGACTGACTGGCTCGAGCAACGTCGCCGCCAAGTGCTGCTGAATGAATTGTGCCCACGCCTTCCAGAAGCCTGCTAGGTCATCCAGAGCGGAAAGCAACGCAGTCGGCGATCAGGGATCAATCACAATCTTGAATCATTCGCACTTTGTGAGATGCGCACCCACACTCGTGACTTGGTCAATCAGCACATATTCTGTCACGGCATGGACCTCACGACTGCCCCGCCGAAGCAAGCTCGTTTAGCTTTTGCTTGGCTGCGCCAATTGGCGAACCTTATCAGCATCTCGCGTTGCTCAACTATAGCTCAATCAACGTGCTGTCGATGTACCGCTCACGTTTTTCATCTCGAAATGCACGGAGACCAGGCCGAGACAAGATAAGAGGTCTTGCGAGATCCCAGTCGTGAGTGCACGTACCTCATGAAAGAGTTTCGAGCAGAGTCAGGCTCGCGCTATCGGAATTGCATGGAGAGCATCTATAGCGGCTAGAAGTGGAGCGTATCGGCGCGGCGGAAGCGAGTACATGAGCTCAAGATAGCCGAAAGAGATGAACCTCCAGCCGCAGACCCTCTTCCCAACCGCCAAGCGAAGTGCGAGACGAGCTAGGTGGGAGGGTTGGACCAGAGCCTGTGCTGCATGTGTAGCCAGGCGATAATCCCGTCTTGCCACAGCCGGACTTTTCCCGTAGCCGCCGAGTACAAAGTGGAATCTTGAATGTGAATCACGAACGGAACACTAGGCTGACGCTGCCGCGGTGATGGCTGGCCCGCAGCTGGAACCGTGGAACTCCGCTCTAGGCCTTTTTGCCGCGCCCTCGCTAGCGCGTCTTGGTGTACATCATGCATGAAAGAGCTGATGCGCCGTTGAAGCTCGGGTCGTGGCAGGAGCACACGACCTGGCAAAGCTGCAGCCCTCCCAACTGCGATATCTTCACCTTAGCCAACTCGTGCATCCGCGGGCGAGAACGCGAGATAACCAGCAGTTGCGTTCGTCCAGGCATTGCCGCTCCTGGCATCCAGCCTGGGAGAAGCGATCCCCTTCTCGACAGGTTGGTCCGGTGGCTGCTGCTGCTAGCTGCCTCGCTTGCTTGCTTGCGTGTGGGGAAGAAGAAGAAAGTGGGCCTCGTATCTCCAGCTGTCGCCAGCACCGGAGCAGTCCAGAAGCCTTGGACAATAGTCATCAGCCACCAGCAAAGGAAGTGCTGGGCCGGGCGCAGGTCCGGCTTCATCTTGCACTAGGCTGCCGAAGGATGCTGAAAGGCAATGAGGCAATGGAGCAGGGCACTGGAGCGCTGTTGGACCGCAGAGATTGCGCAATTCGGTGGTGCGATAGCGGTACCCGGTGCACCTTACCTCTCGCTCTGCCTCCAATCAGCCCATCCACGCATGTCGCTCTCTTGTCAGTCGTGTGGATGAGGTATATAAATGGCAGGGTACCCTCGTTGTTCTATCGTCCCCGATCTCTTCATCTAAGGATCATCCCTCCCCTTCACCTCCCTTCCATCTTCTCCCTGTCTCACCCCTTCCCTCTCGAGTACGCAAGGTAGATACAGCTTCCCTCTCAGTCCTCCACCCTTCCCCCCATCCTTCGTCGTCGCCATGTCGCAAAAGCCCGAGCAGGTGACGTCCGAGATCGAGGCGCTGCCTCGTGAGGATCGAACGCCCTCCCTCAACGAAAAGGAAGCTTACGTCGACGAAAAGACTCCAGCTCCTGAAGCTTTGTCCTACGAGAAGGATGTTCATCAAGCAGAAGGTCAATACGATGAGTCAACAGAACGCATGACCACCGCAGATCTTATGGCTGGCAACCCCTTCCCCGAAGAGACTCTGCCCCATGAAGACTACCAGCTCACCATTCGTGCCATCGTCGTTGGTACCGCACTCGGTATGGTCATTGGTGCAAGCAACGTCTATCTCGGTCTCAAGACCGGTTTCACCTTCTCCGGCTCCCTGTTCGGCGGTATCCTCGGCTTCGGTGTCATCGCCCTCATGGCCAAGACTTTGCCCACCTACCTCGGTGGTGGCTCTTTCGGCCCCAAGGAGAACGTGTGCGTGCAATCAGCCGCCACCGCCTCCTCTGGTCTCTCGTCCATGTTCGTTGCTGCCGTCCCTGCCATGTACCGTCTTGGCTTGCTCACCACGCCGACTGGTGACTTTGGCCGTCTCATCACCTTCTCGGCTGTCTCTGCTTTCTACGGATGCTTCTTCGCCATCCCCCTGCGCAAGTTCTACATCCTGAAGCAGAAGCTGATCTTCCCTTCGCCTACCGCCACCGCCATCACCATCCGATCCCTTCACTCCATCGGTGGTGCCAAGGTTGCCATGAACAAGGTCAAGGTCCTCGTCATCACCTTCTTCTCTGCCATGACCTGGACCACGGTCAACCAGTACGCCTCCGGCATCCTTCTGGACTGGCACGTCTTCTACTGGCTCCACACCTGGGGTTGGCGCCGCGCCCTCGCCGTAGAGAACTGGGGCTGGTACTGGGAATGGACGCCTGCTTACGTTGGCGCTGGTATGCTCGCCGGAACCAACGCATCCCTCAGCTTCCTCCTCGGTGCTTTCATGGCATGGGGCATTATCGGACCTTCTCTCATCGCGACCGGTGAAGCAAAGGGCAGGATCCTCGAGGAAATGTCGCCCATGAACGCTTACTCGTTCACCTCCATGAGCTACAAGCCTTCTACGATGGACATCAAGGATGCGTCTCCTCGCTACTGGCTGCTTTGGCCCGGTGTCATGATCATGTTGATGGTCTCGCTTACCGAAATCGCCTGCAACGCTCCCACAATCTACCGTGGCTTCCGCAACGCTTACCTCTCCACCATGGACTCTATCCGCCGCCGTCCCGTTCGCAAGTTCGAAGGCGAGATCGAGGACCCTGCACCCGACAGTGAGCAAGTCAAGTGGTACTACTGGGCCGCCGGCATCGTCGCCTCCATCATCTTCACCGTCATCGTTTGCAACCTGCAATTCGACATGAACCCAGGCACTTGCATTCTCGCCATCATCCTCGCCTTCATCTTCTCCTTCATTGGCTGCCAATGCAGTGGTACGACGGACACTAACCCCCTCACTGCCGTTGCCAAGGCTTCTCAGCTCATCCTCGGTGGTGTCTCCAAGGCTCAAGGTCTTGAGGTCCAAAAGGCTCAACTTGAAAACTTGATCGGTGGTTCCATTGCCTCATCTGCTGCTGCGCACGCCGTCGACATGATCGGTGATCTCAAGACTGGACACTGGCTGCGCGCGAGCCCCAAGGCTCAGTTCTGGGCCCAGCTGCTGGGTTCCATCCCAGCCATTCCTCTGTCGGTCGGTCTCTTTGTCCTCTTCAGCAAGGCGTACCCATGCATCAACGACGCCAACATCGATGAGTGCGCCTTTAGCGTTCCCTCCGTTGCAGCCTGGCAAGCAGTTGCAGTCGCCGTCACCGCCGACAAGCTGCCCGTCAGCTTGTCTTCCGGTCTCACCGCCATCTTCCTTGGATCCTTCTTCTCCCTCACCGTTGTCGCCAAGTACTTCTGGATCCCCGCCAAGTACCACGGCTACGTCCCCAACGCCAACGCAATTGGTTTGTCGTTTGTCATTCCTCAGATCTATGTGCCTCTGGCCATGGCTGCTGGTGCCGTCTTCCTCGACTTCTGGCGACGACGCAGTGCGAGGACTGCCGACCTGTACGGTTACTCCGTTGCTGCTGGTCTCGTTGCCGGTGAGGGTATCGCCGGTGTCATCAACGCTGCTCTCACCATTGGTGGCGTCGACGGCTCGGTCTACGGTAGCGCCGTTGGTGTTCCTCCCTGGTAGACGCTTTTCGCATCGCCTGATGATACACGCACGACCTTCTCACCTCCTTCACGATGTCTCGTTCTGTCTCACGCCAAGTCTCGTGTCCCTGTTTCCCCCACCCGGTGTGTTTTAGAATCCTCGTCACGATGTTACCCTCTCACGCATGGAGATGCTCAATGGCACATTTGTCATGCCGTCCCACTCTGCATCTCTCGTTTGCGATGCGTGATCCGAAAGTGGTGTATGCGCGCCCTTGAGTTTATTTGTGTAACCTTGAATGCAGGCCAGACACAAGTCACAACACAAAGGATTCGGTCGTGGGTCGCAGCAAGCCAGTGAGCGGTCGGATGTACGTTGCAATGGATGGAAGAGTGACGCTGTCTGGGCGAGCCTAATGGGCGCCGGCAGCGCGCAACCTTTGCCAGCTCACAGGCTGAGGTCCAGCACTAATGTATCCAAGTCTCGTTCGATACTCAAAGCTGAATGTCAGCCGACGTTGACAGACTAAAGATATATTCATGGCGCTCGAAGATCTTGTACAACAATCGTGAATGTGACTTTGGTGACAGGGGCAGGTGAAAAGCAAGAGCAACTTCGCGGCTGTACGTATAAGACTGCGGAAAGCTTAGACAAAGGCGCCAACCGTGGCCTTCAAGAACCTCAAGATTGCTCGCTCAGCATCCTGTTTCGAAAGAGGGCCCCAAAAAACAAAAAGTCGTAGGCAGATAGATTTCAGCTCGGGCTTCGGACTTCGTTGCGACAGGTCCACCGAACTACTCACGCCGACAGCGAGGCATGCTTGCTCTGAATCGATTGGTCTAGTGTAGGAGACGGTGCCACTGTTGCGCAAACCAATGTGCGCCACGGTGGGTTGTCGACGATCGAAGACTGGCCAGCCTGGAGGTTGGGGCGGTCCATTCGCATCAGAGCGGGGGGATAAGAAGTGTCAGTGGTGAAGAAGCGCCGCGATTGGCGGCGCATTGAATGCAGCCAAGCCTCACCTAGTGTGGTCGGTCCGCGTTGAGGATCACGAACGAAGGACATCCACGCGTCCATCATGAAGCGACTGACTTCCCTCTCGGCATGGGGTACCGAAACTTGGCGCGGCCCCGCATTAGCACCCGTGGCGACCGCGATCGGCGTCGTGCCAAAATTGCCAAACAGGATCGGGATTTCAGCCTGATGATAGGCTCCAAGCGCCTTTCGTCCAGAGTTAATGTCGTCCCAATTGGCACCGTACTTGTACTGCCAGGCTGGCACGCCAGCCTTGATGCGATCCGAAGCTTCAGTCGTTGCGGGACACACGAAAGTGAATGGAAGGGCCACATCGTTGTAGAGACCTGCATGAAAGATTCGGCCAAATTTGAGACAATGTTGGAATGCTTTATATGCCAGAGTGCACTCACTGTTTGCTAGATCTGATTGCGAAGCGCACAGTATAGTGCCCTCTTGATCATTGGTACCGAGCAGGATGGGCACCTTTGCGAATTTGCCCTGTGCCGAGCGCACGGCAGAGTCCGCGAACCATCGCTTGCCGTCGTTGATAGGCCCGAAAGCGACGCCCAGAGTATGTTGGGCGGCGATGATATCTTGCCAACTCTTTCCTCTCATGCAAGCCATCTCCGCGTCGTCGAGGTTTGGGAAGCTCTGGCACCCAGCCGCAGCGACCAGAGCGCTCCACTGAGGCTGAACTTTCGCCATTGCACGGCCACCAAGCGCCTCGACGTATTGTCCCAGGCCCGAGACCGCGCCGGATTGGATGATCAAGCTTTGCACTCCTGTCCCTTTGTACGACGGCAACCCATCCTCTCCGCTATGCGCGAAAGCCCAGCTGTCGACTGCTGCGGCACCGGCTGACTGACCCGCCAGGGTGATGCGATCCGGATTGCCTCCGAACGAACGCGCATTTGCCCGAATCCAATCGAGAGCAGAATCACGGTCGTGCAGGCCCAAATTTTGCTCCTCGAGCTGAGGAGCTTGAGGAAAGCCAAAAGCATTTGTGCGGTAGCTGCGCAGTGGTGGAAACGCGGTCGTGTGAGTCGTCGGAAAGTGCTCCATGAATGCAAGGAATGACGAACTCACTTGAAGGTGATGAATACCACGTCGGGGTGTCTTGCAAGGATTGGTGCAGGATCGATGAGCTTGTTTTCCTGCGAGCCAAACAAGAACGAGCCTCCGTATAGCTAGATCGAAAGGCAGTGCCACGCTCAGTCGAAATGCACCGAGAATCAAATTCCCAGCTCCCCACTCACCCAGACAAAGATGGGACTGCCAGCGTAGTCGGGTCGGGTGGCATTTCGACGCACCTCACTGCTGGTGAAGATGGAGATGGACAAGCAATCCTCACCCTGATTGGAGGGAGTGACGGTGCCGGACCAAGCCAGACCGGTCTGTGCAGCGCGCGTGACGAATTGTGGGCAGCTTTGTCCAAAAGATGTCGCTGGCCTTGGAGTCTTCAGCAAATCTTTTGGTGGGACGAAAGGTTGAGCAGGTTTCCACCTGTTGTCTCCCGCTGTACTAGCTGCATACGGAATGGCGAGCCATCGGTACTGCTTGCGGTCTTTGTCGTACGCGCCGCTGAAGAGTCCTGATGTGGTGTTGAGGACGAGGTTGCTATTCGACCCTATTTGGGCCGTGATGGAGACGTCCACACCAGAAATATTTTTTCCCACGTCTACCTGAGTCGACAAGTTGACATCCGCTTGCACTGAGACACCTGCGAGCGGGCCATCTTGTCGTCCAGCTTGCATGCGAGGCCGATCTCGCGTCACGGATGCATCGCTAAGCACGCGTCGCTGTCCAGTCTCGCGGTGCCTACCGGGACTTGTGGAAGGAAGTGTGGACGCCAAAAGGGATCCAATGCTGATTGTGAGAAGTAGAATGACCACATGAAAGACGGTGTGACGCCTTGCAGGTGAATAGCGCCGCGGCCGAGGCCCAAAGCTGACTCTGTGCGCACAACGCATTGGAGCGACAGCTTGCTGCGTTGCTGATGTTGGGGGGAGCATGGGTGAAAGACAACGCAGCGCCGGGGGTATGAAGAGGTCTTTGAAACGGATGAAAGCGAGTAAGACGACGTGGACCGTGAGTGCGGCCCGGCTATTTGACGCTTTCGTCGTGTCTGGTCAGCTCAGGCTCGAGCTCCTTTCGGTAGGGAGCGTGTAGGGTAATTTTCCGATGAATCCTGCAGCGTCCGGCGTTCGAATCAGCTGCCTGATTAGGAGCTACTGATGTCCTTGGTCGCGAGAGGGGCGATTCCTTTGGGGCGTTTGAAATTGTCTCGAAGCTCATTTATGAGTCAGACCAACCTTGCAGAGGGCACGGCAAAAGCCGTGGGTAATCAGTAGAGATTCGAGGCGAGGCCGGAGCTGGAAAGGAGACGGAAGAGAAATCGAGAAAGGCTTGAGCGCCAGACAGAAGACAAGGACTGGTGATGGGAAGCGCGGCATGACATCAAGTCAGGTGAAAAGGAGGCAGGGGGCTCATCCGGGAGGCCAATGCGCAGTGTTCATCGCAATGTCAACATGAATGTGGGAATTAGTGAAGGTGCTCCACTCCGGATATTCGGACGTGCTTGTGTGTGTGTGTGTGTGTGTGTGTGTATTCGTTTGTGTGTGTGTCCAATGTCCACAGACCAGCTGGTGTTCGGTATGCCTGTGCACACATGTGGTCACTGTTTCCCCGTGGTCGTGCATCCCGGCCGCGCACCAAAATCGTCCGAGCGACAATGCGAGGACAGGACACCTTTCATTGAAACGTTTGATGCGAGCTGAAAACGCACCGTGTCAGCTGGGCAGTAGCTGTTCCTTCCTTGCCGGCCGGTGGCTCGCTTGCATTCTGTCCAACATTATTGGCGAGCAGACGGGCGCATGACTTCTTGACTTCATGCTTGGCTCTCGACGAAGAAGAACAAAGTGCCAATGACCTGGTATCGGCACGCTAGCGCACAAGTGCAGACTGAGGACCCTGCTCTGGTGTTGTGGAGAGTAATGGTACAGAGCATCTATCAGCAGAGAGCCAAGCAGAGGGATGCGTGCAAATGCACACGAACGATGGAGTGACCCAACACCGACTTGCGCGCTAAGCTCAGCTGCACCGCCTGCAGCAGCTGCTGCACCATCGGGGTGTGAAAGGGTTGCGGCTGGTGTTGGAGTTTCGATTCGTTGACCATTCACGACAGTTGCTGCAGGCTAGCTAGAGACGGCAATCACGAATGCGACGGTATGCCGTCACAAAGTCTCAAATCACGAACGATGCACTGTATGTTTGCTCATCAATCAGCGCTAGATACGGCATGATGGCTGCAGCCTGTGCGTCTCACCATTTTGTGCTACTGTATTGCATCCCGCCCGCTCGTCACTCAACTGTGAAGTTTGAGCGGCTTGTGCATGGAGGTCGGTCGACTTTGATCAGAGCTGCAGATTTGTTGAGCAACGTGTCGATCACTTCTTTGCATGAGCCCCTCTACATACACCGCCGGCTTTTCGGCAGAAGCAATCCTAGAGCGAGCATCGCCAAGACTTGCTTACGGCGGGCGAGGTTGCGCAAAGATAATGTACGTATCCTGCGTGTCGTTCACCGTCCAAAGGAGGCAATTCGAATTGCAGATTCATACACTTCCGCGCTGCGGACGCCAACATCCGAGTCAGGCGTACAAGACGACCATCTTGGTCGGGTAAAGTCAGTCGTCTGGCCAGCCCACTCAAAAACTTGGCTGTAGCGACTCTCGGCACCATCATTGCTTCGCTCACACATTGGGACGCACAGAAGGTCGCTAGGCACAGCGTACAATCACGAGTACAGAAGTCGTGCGTGAGGGTACAACGACTGATGAGCTCAATTTCTGAATGTCTAACCGAGCTGCAGCGAGCTTCGCCTCTGCATAGCGCTAAGACTGCAGATTTTCCTGGGATTCGGGACGAGTCTAGCGCAGCTGATGACGGACCAAGCACGCACGTAACACGACGTTTGTTCTGCCTGCGCTGCGCTGCTGCTGTGTGGTGACCCGCCACGTCCATCGCTCTAGGTTGGTGCGCTTGCGGAGAACAGCCTCTCCGGTGCTTTCGCCTTCGAATAGCACGTTCTGAATAATCACGAATGTTCCTGGTCTTTTGGAGCAAGCAGTCGCATTGTGTCAGAAGATGACCACGTGAGCACGGATGCTCTACAAGAAGGACTTAGCTTGTCAAAGAGTCAAGAGTCTGTACGACACATTCCTGGTGTTCACAGTCACCTTTCATTCAAATCTCATCATTCATTGTCGATCAGAAGCATCCGTCTCGTCTTGGGGTCTGACTGGGAAAGTGGTGTACGCTCGCTGGCCATGACGACCAGAAGGCTAGTGGGGTCAGGGTGTGGCAATATAACGCCCGAGGAATTCAAGCGATGAGCTTTGATTGCAGAGCAATTAATCCACGAGACCCCGATGGTCCTTGACAAGCCTTGCTTGTGCCGGGCTGAGGCCTGCACGGCACCGCATGGAGATTTGGCGGGGAGCACGTCGGCGCGCGACTGCGCCTTTACGTGTTCGTGCGGGGCTTCTCGAAGCGGGGGGAGGTGGGGGAGGGGGAGGGTTTGTTCGGCGCCATCTGCTGCTGCCTTGTAGACTCGCTTCGCACAACATCGCAAATTCGTGGGGCTCATCGTTCGCGTTCGCGATTGCATTTCATCGAAAGCTTGCTCCTCCCTGCTTTGCAATCCACAATGAAACTGCTTCCGCCTCCCACGCCTCCAAATCGGCCCACGCGACCCTTCGCAAGTGCCCACAATGTGTACGTGTATCAAAGTCGAGCTGCTGCAGCTCGATGAGAGGTTCCTTACAGTGGTGCTTAAAGGTGCCTTGGTGCAAGGTGCGCTTAGTGGTACGTAATGCCGGGACACCTCCGCACTGCTCGCGGCCCAATACAAGGCCCCGACTCGAGGCCCTGCGGCCTCAAAGCCACCGCCATACACTCACCCCCCCATTCCCATTTCCCCGGATCCCTTTTCACACTCGACGGAATCAAAGCGCCAATTTTCCGGGAGCGCACACTTGAGCGAAATGCGATGTTCTTTCGTTCCGAATCGTTTGGGACCATCGTCGAGATGACGGCGAAGGCAGTGCAAATCGGTATCCTACTTCTCCACATACCGCATTCACTCGCTCTCTTTTGTTTCATGTTCAACAGATGGAGAAGAGATTGCAAGTCAGCGCCACACTTCTGTGCGAAAGCGATTCCTTCATAAAAAATTGCAAGAGCGGTGCAAATGTACAAAATAAGCGCATCCTTGTAGCATGGGGGGGAAGGGTTAAGCTTTGACGCGCGTAACGTTTACGAGGTAAGGATCCTTTATGGGATGAGTGACGCTGTTAGCGTACTGAGGGGGCCAAGCGCTCTTCTGACCCTGGGCAGCAGTAGCCCATTCGAAGTTGAAGCGTGGCAAGACGGCAGCGATGAAGGCGGTAGCTTCGTAAGTAGCCAGATTCATGCCCAAGCAGAGTCGAGGTCCAGCATTAAAGTAGTGGCTCTTCCATTGACCGAAATTCCTGAGGTGCAACTTGCCCGCTTCATCCGTCTCGAGGAATCGAGAAGGGTTGTACTCTTCGCAGTCTGCACCCCAAATGGCTGGCGTGCGCGCCATGACCCAGTCTGACCAGCCAACGCGCTCGCCCGCAAACACTCGTACTGGCGGCAGATTGTCCGGGTTGGGTCCCTGGGGAATAATGACGTCATCCTTCATCACCGCCTTTCCATTCTTGGGCACAGCTGGGTGCAGTCGGATAGCTTCGTGAAGACATGCAACAGTGTATGGCAATTCTCTGAAGCTCTCGTAATCCAGACGCACCCCTCCCTCTGGCTCGCCAAACTTCTCCGCGATCTCCTTGCGAATCTTTGGCACGTGCTCGGGGTGAGCCATCAGCTCGTAGAAGAGCCAGCTGAGACTTTGAGCAGTGGTGTCGCGTCCAGCGATGATGAAGTTGAGCACGACGATGAGCAGCTCCTCGGGATCGGTGGTGAGATCCATGAAAAAGTCCAGCAAGTCTTTGCCCTCCTTTTTGAGCTGCTCCTTCTTGGTGCCTTCGACCGGTGCCAGTGGATCTTTCTTCTCGTCTTGACGCTCAGCCAAGCGCTTGTGGATGATGTCCAGACCAAATTCTCTGATCGTCTTGATGGAAGAACGCATGTCCCTACCGGTCTTGTTGAATTTTTCCCAAATGTACCATCCGGGAGTGATGAAGCGGTCGTTGATGATGGCCTGCGCTCGATCGAATGCCACTGCGAAAGGCACAGGGCGCTTGAGGGAGTCGGGATCGGGTGACAAACAATTGAGATTCGCTGCGAAGGCCATCTTGGCGAAACTGGATAGCGTGTATCGGAACATCAGTTCGGGCAAGATCAATTTGCCTGGTCCATTCTTGGCGGTAACATTGTCAAGCAGAGCGCTGATGTCGTCCAGCTCATTGTGAATGACAGCTCGCACCCAGGTGTTGAACTCGCGGTTGGAGAACATGTGGCTACGGGACGGAGACGAGACGCCAGCCGTCAGCACGAGGTCCGATGCTGCTTGGGTCAGGTTCCAAGCAGCCGTCACGCAACTCACCTAGCTTGCTTGCGCTGCGTCTTCCAAGGATGACCATCCGCCACAAAAATGCCCGTTACGCCGAGCAGATCTCCCAGTCGTCCAGTAAATTGGCTGCCTTTTGGGAAATTGTCAAAGTTGGTCTTTTGAATGTACTCGAGGTACTCGGGCCTGTTGACAAAGGTCATCGAAGACGTTCCCAAGAAGCTCACGTTCCATGATCCGGCCGGTGTGGCATCGCTGAGCGCCTTGAAGTTCTCAAATTGTCCTTCGCTCCCGAAGCCTACGATCATCCGAGTGTGCCCGATCAGAGGGTCCGCGCCTGGTGGGAAATACACTCCAGGTCGATGTTTCGGATCGCTGTGGGGAGGAATGAATGGTCTGAGCTCTGGAACCTCAATGCATGTGCTGCTCATTGCCATCGACAAACACTTACGTGGTACCTGGCAGGCGATTGGGATACTTGATGGCGAGCGCGATGATGAAGAGCACCAATGCAGGCAAGATGTAGCCAGTCTGATTCAAGATGCTTTGGATCACCTCGATCACCGGTCCGAGGGACCCGCTCGACGCATCTTCAAGCTTCATGATGCTCCTGTTGAGGTGACGCTGCGTGGATTTGGCCTACCACGCGGGCTTCCTTGTGCAGAGGCTGCTCGATGTCTGCTCGATGCCTGATCGAATTCGACAAGGTTGCGATTGGCGAGCAGGGATGTGCGGGTTAGCAATGTGAACGTAGGCTGAGAAAGGTAGGCTGGTGAAGGGAGTAGGTGGGTCTGCTTGCTTGCTGTCTTACTTATAAGCCACCTGATCCGTTGCTGTCTTATAAGCCAACTGATTCCAATCGGTGTTGCTCAGCCTTTTTGACTTGCCAAGCCCTCGTGGAAGCGAGAAATATGAAGCACACCCGCTGTGGAGCAGAATGAGCAAACGCGAGCCGCCGAGCCGCCGATTGCTGCTGCGATGCGATGTCAGCTAAGTATAGCGAGTCGTACGTCGTGAACCGTGAACCGTGAACCGTGAACCGTGAATCACGAATGCGGGCACCACCGTCGCCCTACAATCGTGAATAATGGCCAATGCACCCCACCCACCCATGTACCGGTCAAATCACAAACAAATGTTCATTTCATGATTGGGCACCTGAACCCTTGCTCGCAGCAGTATAATCTCGCGACCCGCCCCCATGGCCGTCCGTCCGTGGCGGCCGCTTCGATCAATCGCTTTCATGCGTTGGCGTGCATGCCCGAAGCGCTCAATCCGGAGCACACACGCCGAGGTAGGTATAGCGTCCCGCCAACATCCAAACTCATCAGCAGACTCTGACTCCCTTCGCGATGGACAATCTCTGCTTGTCATCAGCTAGGAAATTGCAAGCCACAGCCCCTGCCTCTTTTCATTTTCGCTCCCAGCAAATCACGAATTGGAGATGCGCTGTCTACGGATCAGCAGTGTGAGAGCAACGAGGGAGGGACAGACAAACAGGCAGGCAGGCGCCGGCTTTCGAGATGTGAGCTTCGCTCGACGCGCAGCGCTCCTCGTGGAGGAGGGCCCCGACGCCTGATGCATGACTGGCCTGCTGCTGCCGAGTCCACATATCAGTTCGTGAATGTGGGACGAAAATTTCCGGCCCTCGGTGACGTGTTCATAGCCGTCTGCTGCGTGCTGGTGCTGGTGCTGGTGCTGGTGCTGGTGCTGGTGCTGGTGCTGGTGGGCGATGTGGTACCTCACCGTGACGCATCGGGAATTACTCCGATCGATCGGTGGGACTCGCACTCACTCGTCACTCACGACTCACGTCTCACGTCTCAAAACTCGATCGTGACTCGTGAATGGATGCATGGCTACCTCTCACGCAACTCTTGACTCTGAATACGATTTCTCCGGTGGGCCGTTCAGGATACACTTATGGCTCGCGCATACCATCCATGATCGTGAACGCTCTCATCCTTCGAATCTCAGCAGGATTGCTCAGCAACAACGAACAAGATCACGATGAAGGCTTCGTCGGCTCGACTCGGCTTGACTCGGCGCTGAAGCTCCAGTCGAACGCTTGCGTCAGCTTTCAGTAGAGTCACGAGTACCGAAGGAAAATCGCACAAAGGTGATTCTCGATGGCAAGGCTTGCTCTCTCTCTCCCTCTCGAATGTTCACGACTGTTTCCTTTTGCACGCGGGTAAAAGTAGAATGTGGCGCCCCCCAGCCAAGGTCCTCATCATTGTCCCACGGTACGCATTACCGAAGTCATCCCCCCGTCCGGTCAGAACGCATAGCCCAACGCGCTCAATTGGGCTCAACAAGAGCGTCGAGCAGCGAGGCCCAACATTGTTTGGCAGGTGCGGCCTCAGCAACGCGCTCTCAAAGCTTTGTCTCGCTCGAAATCTTCCCCAGAGACATCAGAGGCGGTACATCATGCTTGAAACAGCGCCCTCGCAATGACACGTCGACTAGTCCTCGAGCCCGCTTCAAGTCCATTTAGAGCCGCTCGCTCGCTCGATCGAGGCACAATGCAGCAGGACAAGATGTGATTGCAGTTCAAATGGTGCTGGTCAAGTGTCAGGCCAATTCAAGGACTGCGAAAGAAAGCAAGCGAAAAGTATGCATCGTACACTGCTGAATGACGATCTCTGGAAGAGTGGCTGCTCGCCCGTTCAGCGCAGAGGTGTTGTTGATGGATGGACGGAGGCAGGATGAGCGACTTCAAGAACCGGCGGCAGCAGGCACCTGACCTCGAAGAATGAGCTCCGTGATTCTTCTCTGTTCCTCTATCCTCTTCTTCAGCGCCTCCACCTTCATCTGACCCTCTGCTTTCAGCTCCTCGATAGCCGCCTGCATCTGCCTATTGAGCCACTCATCCACCGTCAGATTCTCATCCTCCGGCATCAAAGTCGGCAATTGTTCCAGTTTCTTGAGCGCTGTTCGCCAGGTATCAGACTCAACGTCCAAATTCATCTGCTTGCTCTGTTCATTCTGCCTGCTCAAGCTGGCAAAAGGTGATCTTCTCGGTATTGACGCGAATTTCCGATCCGATGCTTGCAGCTCGCCAGTCTCCAAACGCGCAGCCTCTGCCTTGGAAGCGGACCGCTGAGAGCTCTTCATTGCTCGTGGTGTGTTTTCCTGATCAACTTGCGCTTTGGATCTAAGGGAGCTGACAGATCGTTGAGGCTTGGCAGCCTTTTTGCCAGCCTGCGCAGCAAGCTCCAGCTCCTTTTCGGTTAGGCTTTCAAGCGGCACAGCCTCTTCATCGTCATCATGCCTTTCACGGCACGGCTCGTCCTTTGCAGCTTTGGTCTTCCTCCCTATTGCGTCTGGCGAAAGGGGAACAGCGCCAGGGCCCTCGGTAGCGGCCAGCGAAGCAGCACTCTCCAGACTTCTGCGCGAAGGCTTCGTGACGCCGCTCGCGCTACGCGTGACCCGGGCCGGTGTGTCTGACGGCACATTCAACGCAATTGCCTTGCTAGTCGTATCGCTAGGCATCGAGCCGCTCTTGACCTCGTCGGCACTAGCTTCTTCTGTCCCGGCGTGCGCTTTGCCTCGTGTTCGAGCGCTGGGTACGCTCGCATTTGCTCCAGATTGTGCTGCCTTGCCTGTGTGTGCAGATGCATGCTTGCTGCTCTGCTTGTCGGTATCCATGAGAGCCTCTTCACCTGCCTCCACCTTAGCTGCTTCTGTCCGTCCGCGCACACTACGCGCGAGCGAGGGAGCTTCCTTGGTGTATTTCTGTGTAGGCTCGCGCTCTGTGGTCTCTTGCGCGTTCACTGCGACGCCCTCGCCATCATCCTGCTCCTCCTCGTCTGCGGCGCCATGACCACGCGCAGCCCGCGTTCCTTTCCGGCTGACAGACCTCGCCACTTTCGACTTTGCAATTGACGGAGCTGAAGGAGCTTCTGCCGCCTCAGCCACGGTCTTTTTGCGCCCCGTGCGCCTCCTGTGTGCGCAATGGAAGGTTAAAGGTTGAGTCAGATCCGCAAACGGAATCTGTTCATCGCTCGACTTACCTTGGTACCTCTGAATCTGTATCCACAGCAGACTCGGCTGTGTCGACATTCGCGATGACGTCCTCCTCAACCTGATCGGAGCGCGTCGTCTTCTTGCTTGCTGCAACCTTTCGTCTGGAAGCGCTCTCTGTGGCAACATCGACTTCTGACGTATCGACAGGAAGCAGGGTCGCAGTAAAGTAAGGACATTCTGGTTCTCGTCGCCGATGCTCTTCGCTGTGAATGGATAGGCGTGTTCGGAGCCGGCTTACATCAATCAGAAAGGGTCATAGGAGTGCCCGCAAAGCATGACTCACATTGGATCATCAGCCTTTTCCCAACCTCCTAGCGCCCTGTCACAGTAGATGCAGGTCGCCCGATCTGCTTCATCTTCCTCATCAGGAGCCGGTGTAAAGTGAAAGCCCGCCTTCGCTAGCTGTGAGGAGAAGGCGCGACAGTGATCACATTCGCATGCGCGTCAGTCGACGCGTGCGAAGCGGCAGATACGCTACCGATCCTGTCTCATTGCTCACTTTCGCACTGGTCGGTTTCCATCCCCTCTTGCCATCGTGCGGCCAAGCATCTCCGAATGTAGCCTTTCTCGCTTCGTACATCTCGTTCGAGCTGGGCAGCAACTCTACATTCTCCTCGCTCTCCCTCCACAGCTTGTTGCCCTTGTCAGCTTCTCGCGCGCTCAGGACGATCTTCGCAAAAGGACAGTCCGCCATCATCTCCATCAACCTGTCCAACGCCTCCTCTCCCTCCTTCCAATCCTCCACCGCCGCGTCGCAAAAGATGTGCAAACAACGATCGGGTGAGGAGTGGGTTGGGGAAAAGTGGAAGCCGGCTGCTGCTAGTTGTGAAGGGCTTGGATATTTGGACTTGCCGGTGTGAGGCCACGTCAAGGCTGCCGAGCTCCCCGTCGCTCCTTTGCGCTTGCTCGTACCGCTAGCAGCTCGAGAACCGGCCCTTGCGGAGGCGCCTTCGTCGTCAAAGGTCGCCCGCCGAGCCTCGTGCGAGAGCATCTCCATGACGTAAGCTACTTCGGTGTCAGTCACGAGTGTCAGATGTAATTCCCTGTCGCGTGAAGTGCGTGTCCTGTCGGCTTCGAGTCAGAGCTTTTGTAGTCTCGTCTTTGAGACGCAAGGATGTGTGCGCACCCTTATTCGCAGGCTCTTTGGTGACCAGAGCTAGGCGCGACAGCGCAATCAGAGAGGTCGCTGCTGTGCTGTGTGGTGCTGAGGGCCACGGTAAGCGGCCTGGTCTATCAAGGCTTGTCTGGAGCAGTGTTTGATCATGATATGGAGCGAGACACCAATGCAGATATCCATTTTAGCCAGACATGCCTATATAGCTGCTGCTGATGTATAGCTGATGTTATAGCCCCTCGCGAAGGGTGAAGGCGAGAGGCGCGGCGCGCCAAAGCGCGTCGCGCGCGCGTGCGAACACGTGATGCTGTTTCTGCGCGTCTTTTTCGTGTTGTGTGTGTTGTTTGCGCGGCAGAGCGAACGGCGCGCAATCCTTGCCCAATTCACCATTCACAATCAAATCGTGCTTGCTCTTGCTGCACCCCACCGCGACTGCGAACAACTGAGCGGCGGAAGCGGGGCAAGTCCGATGACCCGAGTATAGCACGTTCTCCCGCTTCTTGACCCACGACCGCCATCTCTCATCACGCCCATCTCTCACGCCCATCGGACTTTTGTTCAGATCCGAGCGCTTCGATCGCACATGTGAATCGGCATACGTGAAATCATGACGGTCACGAAGCACGCGCTTCGCAATGGAGATTCACAGTACCGGCGTCAAAGATTCGGAATTGCACAGAAGCGACTCGAGGGATAAGATACAGTTGTGGTGGGCCCGTGCAGATCGCACACACTGAGGAGAGGAGGGACGATGAGACGATGGGGGGCACTTTTATGAGGGATCTTACGACGCGCGGCATTTCATGTGCCGAGGGGTAAGTGGAAGGACGCCGTTCCCAGATCAGAGTGTGAGGAGGGAGACGATGATGATGCCCGTCAATGTGGAGAAGGTGACGCAAGCGTTGGTGAGAGCCAGAGTAGCAGCGCCGTTGGACGATCCATTGCCATTGCCACTGCCATCGGATCCGCGTCCCCCTGTCCCGTTCATGTTTCCTCCGAGCAAACCATTGTTGATGCCACCGCCACTGCCGTTGGCTCCCTGCCCGTTGGTGCCGTTGCCTCCGCTGGAAGCGTCGTGCGTCGTAATCGTAGAGTTGCGATAACCATCGTTGGAATTGTTGCTATCAGGTCCCGGAACGGAGTTACCTTGAGAAGAAGCGGAATTCTGGTAGCTGATAGGTCCAGCTACAGCGCTATTGGCGCTGCGTTGAGCGCTCTGAGCAGCCTGTTGCGCACGCGCCTCGTTGTACGTCTCTTCCCCAAGCACATTGTCCAGAAGATGCATGACTCCTCCTCGGAACATGATGTCGTATTGCACAATCTTGGCAGTGGACTGACCGACGGTGATGGAGTTGGCCTTTTGGTCGTAGACCACATTCTGACCCGCTGCATTGATCATCGATCCTTGTTGACCCAACAAGACTCCATACGCTGTCCTGTAGGCCAAAATGTGCTGCTTGATTAGGATTTCCAATTTGCTCTGGTCCTGCTGAACGCCTTTGCTTTGAACGTATCGCTGCAAGGCCTCGTCTGTGGGCACAAAGATCGTAGCTCCGCGCAAGTCATCTAGCGATTGACCAAAGCTCTGAGCTTGCAGAGCGTTGAGCAATTGGGAGTGCGAGGAGAGATAGGCCAACGTGGCGGTAGCATTGCCCGGGACCGTCATGGCGCGCGCCAAGGGTCTAACGGCGACGTCACCGAATTGGAAATCGTTACTTGGCACGAAAGAATTGGTGTTGGAAGCTTCCTGAACGACGGCGTTGCCACCGTCGAAAGCCAGTGCTACAGCTTGTCCATTGCCGCCAGGAAGATTTGCGTATTGAGAGTCGGTGAGCAGAGAGTGACCAACGAGGTTCAAGGGCTTTGCAGGAATGAGGCTCAGATCATAGGTGCCGTTCAAGGCGTGCATGAGGAGCGTAGACTGCAGCAGTCTCTCGTTCGAGGTGACCCATTGTGGAAGACCAGTGATGGCGTCATCGTCGGGTGCCAAAAAAGTCTTTGTACCTGGAGACTCCAAAATAGTTCGCGCCACGTCCTGATTGTTCTGCAGCGTGTCGGCCAGCTTGCTCAGGTTGTGAGACTTGAGCTCTTGAATGAATCCATCCACGTCGGTTTGGACATTGTGTTGATCGCGCACCGTGATCGTACTGCGGCGCTGGTAGCTGGACGGCAACACGACGGCGCCGGTCAAGGCTGACAGTACGGAAAGGGTTGCTATGGAGCGAAAGATCTGCATGATGAAAAGTCGCTGTTTGCTGTAGAGATGGGGGTTAGGCGAAGAGGTCCTCGGCTTGGGGAGCGGATTGGCGTATGCGGTCAGCGAATGAAGTGAAAGAAGTGAGCGTGTAACAAGATCCGAGTATACCTTGGTCGAGAGTGCGGCGATGGAACGGGGATTGAAGGATAGGGTGTGGAGAGGGAGAGGGAGGGATGGATGGCGAAGGTGGCGAAGGAGGCCACCCTCCGTCCAAGTCGTACTTTAGTACTGAGGACGCATCAGCGTCGAGCGCACACGGGCACAAGTGCACATCAAGCTGGAGAAAGCAAAAGCTAGACAAACAGTCGAGTCCTTTGGGGTCGACGCCGAGGTATAGGGTGGGCACGCATGCCAAACACGAACGCCGCCTAGGCACGGCTTGCAGAAGTTGGGATCTAGTGCAATGCACATACCGAGACTTCCTAAGATCTGGCCTTTGCCGTCTTTGCCAAGCCCCTCTCTCAGCATTCTACAGCGCAGCATAGCACAATTTGTGCTAAGAGCCTAGACGACTTCATCTTGGCCCGCTACGATCGGATCGCGTCGCCTTTATTCGAATATGTGAGCATATAGCACAGAAGCACACCTTGTTTCGCGCTGACTGTCGTGCACGCCACTTCGAGCAGCTTTCAGACACAGCCGGCAGGTTGGTGCAATTTGAGTGCAATGATCATGAGGACAAGCAGCCTCCTTACCGCTCAATGCGATTTGCAGTGAGGCGACTCAAAACTGTCTCACGGACGCTCGGATCGCGGATCGCGTTACGATCGAACCAGACGCAGGGATGGAAAGCTTAGGTGAGATGAGGCTTGTCGGAGTTCTTGAGGTTAGCGACTTGCAATGTGCGGATCCGCGAGTTGTGAGTCGTGAGTGCTCAGGTGTTCGAAGCGTGAACCACGAACGGGCCTCTGGATGGAACACAAGAAGAGCTAATGTAGACAGACCAGCCATGTGCCGTTACTCGTGACTCTACCGGACTGACGACTCACTCATGACTACTCTTTGACTGCTGATGGTCGTCCAGCCCATATGCGCGACTCGGCGCACCCCCTTGCAGTTGGCAGGCGCGCGCGCCACCGACTCTTGATTCGTGATTGCGCGGGTCAATCCACACCTGCGCTACACGTGACACAGATGAGGAGAAGAGAACGATGGGCTGTTTGAGCCGCTGTTGCCCGATGTGATGATCCTGGTGATCTCGGCCATTCCTTTCAAGATCCGAGGCGGTCCATCCTGCATGTGTTTGGGGGGATGTCATAGAGACGACACGGTGATCCCCGGCGCACGTTGGTGAGTCGAGAACAGCAGCAGAATTGTGGGCAGGAGGTTGCGCATGCGCGCGCCCGTGTTGCACTCGTGACTTTGACTCGCGACTACACTCACACTGATGCGACGTCGGCGCAAAACACGACAGAGCACGCGTCGCGTCCGTCCTCTTTGGGCCGATCGTGTAAATTGGCTCCAGCAACAGCTGTGTAGCTGCATGGCTGTGGACCATCGTTCCCGCTGCGACACAGTCATGGATCACACAGACATGCTTCTTCGACATACAAAGCGCTGTATGCCATGCATATAGACAGACCACTTGCACTCGACCACTCAATCGCCATCTTGTTCCAGATCGACGACTCCTTGATCTCGCCTTCGACTCTTGCCATCTCGTCTGCTCGTTCGTCCTGTATGGCCCTTGTTGCCTCCACTCACCGGCTTCATAACAAACAATTTTCATATTCAGCGATCACGCGGCCAAGAAGCAAGTCCCAACAGGCGTCTCCGCTAGGTATCGCAACCCTCTCGAAATCGCGCCGGAACCTACACCTCCCCCCCGCCACCAAAAGGTTCGAAGGCGCTCTCCCTTCTCCTCAGTGTCTTCAACTCCAGACGCACCGTTTGACTCGCACTGACGCTCGTCATGGCTCCCAAGAAAAGGGTAGAGTCGGGAGCGGGAGCTGGAGCTGGTGATGTGTCAATCGCCAGCGCATCGGGAGCTGCTGCGGGAGACCAGTCTACCACGGTGTTCGATACGAGTGTCACTGCGCAGATGAACACTGGAGAGGGTATAGATCAGTTCGAACTGGCTAGGTCTCAGGTACAGAAGGCTGCCAAGGGAGGTGTGAGTTGGCAAGTCGTGTGCGCTGGCTTTGAAATGGACTATGCTTGGTCGTGCGATGGCGTGGAGGGGAGCGATGCTCGTGCTGCTTGCTCCTTTGCAGACGCGCTGACGAGAGCCCACTTCTCCCGCCTCGCATTGCAACCTTGATCGCAGCTTCCTGCTTCTGTCCAGCTGCGCAAAGAAGTGCTCTTGGCGCTCATGAAAGCATCGACGGTGTTCATCAGCTACACGAGTGAGTCGAGGCTTGTCAAGCTCCGTCCAGAATCGACTTTGATGACTTTGGCTCTTTGTCGATCTGGTCTGGAATCTGAGCAGCCGCGGCAGCGAGGGAAGTTGCAGAGGCGGAGGGACGCAAGAACTTCAATCCTTCGGACATCTTAAGGGTCCTCTCTTCGCCCGAGATGACCACCTTTCACCACAACAGGACAGTCGTCGCGGATCTGAGAAAGGACTTCGAAGGTGAGTCTGGGACTTGTGGTGTTGCTCCACTACACACTCTTCGAAAGCGCTGACACGCCATGATGATGCTGCTCGATCGACACACTCACGCTTCTCGACTTGGGACAAGCTGCGAGCCGAAAGACGAAACAGGCTAGAGAAGAGGCTAAAGCGAAGAGGGCGAAGGCGGGGGAAGAAGCTAAATTGGGCTCGTCAGACGTAGTTCAAGCCGGTGAAGAGGAGAGGTCAAGGATGGAGGTGGATGGCGATGAGGCAGAGGCGGCTGCGGCTGAGGAAGGAGAGGAGGCGGAAGAGGGATCGGAGGAAGAAGAGGAGAACGATGACAACGAAGAGCAGGATGATGATGATGAAGATGAAGATGAAGAAGTAGAGAATGATGAACAGGCTGACGAGGAGGAAGAGGATGCAGCTGAACCGAAGAGCCAGAGACGAGACCAAGAATAAAGAATAAGAAGAGGAGGAGGAGGAGGACCATTGATGTCAGTTGCGGTGCGTCGTGCTTCGCAAAGCTTTGCCAATAGATGCTATTCGTGCAACCACGAATGCAGCCCCTCCAAACGCGAGTGTTCAGTGATCGAAAAGTCCTGCGCTCGTTCACGCTGTCGTGTAGAGGCGCTCGAAGGTGTATACCATTCAACACACCACGCAAGCTTGCGATCATGAATCGTGTTCCATCTGCTAGCATTCTAAAAGTGGGCTGACATGCTGATCCGGCTGACGGGGAAATGCAGAGCAAGAATCTACATGGGAAGTAGTCAAGGATGTACGATCTCGGGCTTAATTGCCAAGCAGAGCGCTTCGCTCGTCCTCAACGTCGACTTCACGCCTGGCCTCCGCATTTAGCCCTCGCTCTTGCTCTTCCCTTCGCCTCTCATCGCTCCAATCGTAATTTAGCGCTCCTTCGTCCTGCACGATTGCAGGTCCGTACAGCACGTAGTGCTGCCAGATGATAATGACGTCAAAGATGAGTGTCAAAAGGGACAGGCCGCTGCATTGCAGGAGGTGGAATGATCAAAAGGAGGTGTGCGCTCTGTCAGCTTCTACAAGAGATCATCGCACGCCTTCGAGAGACGGTGCGCACGCAACGGTTCTCGCTGTCCCTCACTCACATCTTTCCTGGATCGCCGGTTACGGCCCTCCAGCTGCCCAGGATCCTGGCGTCTACAGCTATTTGTGCCAGGCTCAGGATACCGCCTCCCAGATCCAGAATGACGTTGGTCACAGCAAAGCCTCTAGTTGAGCGGCGTCTGTAATTGAGCGCGATTTGAGGCTGTGGGAGTGCCAGTATCAGGGATGAATTCAGCATCCATGCCAACGACGTGTAGGGGTTCAAAGCAAGCAGACGCATACATGCGGTCGCGACACACTCACGAGCCATTTGAGAATGGTGATGATGAGCTTGATGGAGCTGCAGACCCAGATAAAGTCGATCCACCTCCACCCAGCCAGATTGGCCTCGTCTGGATTTCCATCGCCGATATCTCCGGGTGGCAAGTCTCCCTGGTCGCTCGCTGTGGCCACGATGCCGGCGAGAATGAGAGCGGTGGATAGAAGGCCGAATACGGACCAGGCCCATCGAGCAACGTTTTGGCCGGGTGCCTTGGGAAAGATGGCAGCCATGATGGCCTGAGCTACGCACAGTACCAGACCGTGCACGGCGAAAGCCACATCGTTGGTGTGCTGCTCCGGGTATTGTCCCCCATGTCGCAATGCATACTCTTCTCGAACTCGAGCATTGCCGAATAGAGCCAGAGTGGTCAGCGTGTAGCAAAAGAATCCGAGCGTGTTGAGCAGGACAAAGTCGGAGGATAGACCGGCAGAGGTACGTCGCTTGAGCAGGAGCAATGTTTGGGGCCAGAAAGAGGCGGACCAAAGAAGAAAGTAGGACCAACCTAGGAAAGAGGAGAGAAGAGGCAGTAAGGATGGGGATGACATGCTGACCTGAAATGATTGGAGGGAGGGGAGGTGCGTGCGATGTGCGGCGGGTGCGTGCACTTGATCGAGTCGCGCAATCAATGGCTCGTAGCCAAGCCTTGCAGCTGAGTCGCGAGTGCAGTGGAATTCACGATTGGAAATTAAGCACCGCTCTATGTGTGTCCCTGCGCCCGCCGTCTGGTGCTGTGCCAAGTGTCGAGCGCCAATGCGTCGAGCGTCGAGCGCCAATGCGTCGAGCGTCGAGCTTCCGCCTTTCCTGGAGAATTCAGCACCTCTTCTTCTGTGCCGAGGATGGGCCCTCGTAAATGTGAATCCAGATTGCGAAGTTCGGATGAATCGGGGCGGCGGCGTGTATGTGATCAGGAACATCTTGAATTCCCGATTCGTGATTGGTGATTCTTGAATATGTAGACGCATGGACGGCATCCTGCCATCACGTGAGAGTGGAGATTCAAGTGGCTCGTGCATGATGCATGCTATTCAAGATTTAGCGCGGACAACTCGTGACTCGTGACTTCTGCTGACTGCTGCACGCTATAGCTGCTACGACGGCGCTGCATAACAGATATGGCTGCTCTGAGGGTCCAGGTGCAGCGCACCGCCGCCGGTGTGCACGCGCGCCTGCCTTCTGCCTTGCTTCATGCTGCTGCTGCATGCGCAGAGTCGCGACGAGAGGGGCACCCCCGCGTGTCCGACACTCAGACTCACAACTCCGGTCCAATTTAGCAGCATGGCATGCATGGCGGCTGTGTTGCTCTTCAGGGGGTCATACTCGATCTGGATGCTTCATCTCCTCATCCTCATCCTCATCCTCTCCCTCCAACATCCCACTCATTGCGCACGTCGAGGTGCGCTGCCACTGCGCGACGCAACGCGGCTCGCTGCTCAGTCTTGAGTGTCATTGGTCTTTCTGAGCTCGACTCTGCCAGCATAGACCTTGAATCGCGTTTCGAGCGAGGACAGTCACGAGGTGCGCACGATGTCGCCGACGGTGCCATCGCGCAAGCCCGCTTCTGGCGCTGCCGCTTATTCGGCCTCAAGACCTGTCTCTGCCACAAAGCTCTCCGAAGCGCGTGTAGGCTCACCCGCAACGCCTTCCAACCCTCGATCTAGCGCCGTGATGTCCGACTCGCTCGACTCTCCTTCCACGCCGACTCCAGCTAAGCGACTGGGCAGCAGCTCCAAAGCTTCACAGGCCATTGCTCCAATTTCGAGCGGCCTTACGAGGGAAAGAAATCAGAAAGACACTGCCACAGATGCTGAAACTGAGGCGGACCTGGCAGATGCCGACTCGAACACCATCAGCACTTCTCCCAGCGCTTCCGTTAGCGCGCGGAGCGTAGCCTCAAGCAGCAGACCTCGGCCCATCGAACTCAGCTTACCCACACGAAGAAGACTGATTCGTAAGCCTTTGCCCAGCCTTCCGGGTGCTGGTGACGAAGATGGTAAGGACGGGCTCAGCGGCAGCTCAGGTAACAAGAATGGTGCAGTAATTCCAAGCTTGCCTGGCGTGAGGGCTCTTGAGTGGACGCCGAGCTCCCTACCGGAGCACGAAATGCAAGATGAAGGCGCAAAAGAGCTGCACTCTCGGCACGATCAACATGACACAGGGCGCGGACCCGGGCTCGATGCTCAAAGCGCCGAGCACTTGGACCTCTTTGTCTCTCACTTCATCAGCGGCAGTCAGCCGCATTCCGGTCCCAGTGCAAGCCCAGAGCCAAAGACTGCGACACTCAAAGCCAGCACATCAAGAAGCGAGGCTTCGGAGACTCTTTCGTCCGGTACCGTCAAAGAGTTCCCTAGCACTGGCACTGGAGCAGGAGATGAGCTGGATGCAGAGATGGGTCTGGCAATGGCGAAAGCGGTCAAGGAGGCCTGCGTCACCCTGTCGGCTCCAGACACGCTGGAGGCCTTGCAAAGGACTGCAGCGATGAAGTGGAGAGCAGAAGCTTCACTCAGAAATTCTCTGAGTCAGGAAGGCAACATTCAAGCGCAAGCTTCTAGCCGATGGGCCCGTCTCGGCTGGGCGGGTCTCATAGGAGTAGGTGCTGGGAACGTCAATACGACTGGAATGACGTCGACTAGAGTGACGAGCAACTCTTCGGCCTACAATCCTTCTTCGATCACATCTGAAGCTCTCAATGAGCAATTTCTGGCTAGCCTGAGACTGGGTGGAGACGAAGCGAGCGGGAGCGACGGAGAAGCGCGCTTGCGAAAGAGAGACGTTGCTGTTCGCATGCTTGCGAATGCGGCCTGGCTTGTGCGCATGTACGCAGCTGGGCCAGCCATACAATCAGAGACTGGATTGCCAACCAACAGTTTGGACTCTGTTGCTACGCAATCGACGCCCGGAGTCGGTATTAGTTCCACCAAGGACACTGCCAAAAAGGCAGGTGGACCCGCACTACTCCGCGGGCCAACAGTGGCTGCAGCCAAGACGACAGTGTCGCTCAACACTGGAAGCAGCCTGGAGGGTCTAGACAAAGCGCATGAAAGCTTTCCACCAGCCACAGACCCGTCAGAAAGCACCAATGTTGTGGCTGAAGGATCCCTACTGCAGCCGCCATCCCGGCCTTCCTCGACCGCCCCTGCATCCACTAGCAAAGCAAGAGAGCACTTGGCTTCACTTAGTGCCGCGGCTGGCGCTGCCATGGCCGCTGCTGCCCGAGAGGCAGACGCGACTGCAACGTCCCGAATACCTTCAAAAGCGGCATCTCGTCGTCCAAGCATCACCAGCTTGTCCAGCCAAATCTCCACGTCTTCGAGAGCGTCTGCAGCTGCGGCGGAGAGGGAGGAAGCGGCAAGAATCGAGACGGAGGCCATCGAAAAAGCCAACAAAGCTTGGCTGAAACAGGTGGGTACGAAGTGCGATCAAGCTGCAAGAGCTTGTGTGGCCCAGATCGGCGTCCGGATACAGGTCGTCCCGAAGAATGTTAGAAGGAGGACGGGAACCATCACTGCTTCCAAAACTCTCGGCTTCCCATCTCTGTGGCCGCTCTCGGCGTCGTCGGACCCAGACAAAACAGAGGAGAATCTGCAATTGGTCGAGTGGCAGCCGAACAGATTCGACGGCGAGCATCTACTTGGTACACCCTCCTACTCCTTGTCGCTCTCTAAGACTGCTGTCGACCCGCACCTCACGCGTGTGGGTGGAACATTTGTGCTCAGTGTCGAAGACGAGGCGGAAGGCTCCGTAGCTCGCCGTGCGCTGGAAGTGCTCGTCTACGTCGGCCTCTGCATGCTCCTAGAATCGGCGTTCCTGACCGCCATTGGCGCACCAAGACCACAGCCTGAACCGACGAGGACAGACGCAGATACGCAAGACTCATCCGGCAAGGTTGTACAACGTGCACGTGCTCAGTCTGATGCTGCTGTCGCCCTGAAGGAAGAAGCTCCGACATCGCCGGAAGCATCTGAGACCACGTCGAACAACAAGACACCGCGCAGGTGGGGAAGGGGACTGTGGGGTGTTGGAGGAGCTGTGAGTGCTGCGCTTCGCGCCCCAATCTCTGGTCGCGCCAGCATCGACGAGACCCCAACTCGGCACGTGCGCAAAGCATCGAGCGGCAAGTTTGAAAGATCTTCCACGATGGACGTCCAGGTCAGCGAAAGTGCACCAGGAGCGAGAAGGGCAAGCATCACCTCTGAGAGCGTAGGCCTACCCCGATCGAAGACGAAGGATGAACGACGGATCAGTGGAAGCCAAGCTTCTCGAGCTACGCGGGCCTCCCTTGATCTTGCCAACCCTTTCCGCGCCGGGAGGTTGGGACGCATCATCAGCTCCAGTCTTTCGCGCCAGTCAAACCTGAGCGACGAAGCTGAGCAAGCAGGGGCCGAGGTTGCGAAAGGCGAAGGCACTACGTCCCTAGATCCAACGCGACCGCAAATTTCTTCGGTTCCGGACAAGGAAAGCACGCTCAAAGCTCGCGGAGACGCACGAAGTCTCGTCGCACTGGCTCCTGCGCCCCTAAGCGCGTCGCCAGAGGTGGCAGCTCTGTGGGCTCGCGAGAAGAGAGACCGAAGTATGGGCGACCAGTCCTTCGTGGAGGCATTCCACAGCGCGCAACGATTAGCTTTTCTGGTCGAAGGCAATGCTGTTCTGTTGGCCTTTGCCGCGGGAGATGGCGCTACTGATGCCGTCGATGAGGAAGACGTGGAGGAACTCAAGGATCCCTCTGCGCCAACTCCAAATCCCCCCTTGAGTGTGCCCACACCAAACTCGGCGCGCAACGTCAGTGGTGCCTCTCTGCCTCCGACTCCGAGCACCGCTGCCAGCGCGAGCGCAAAGGACGTCAAAAGTATACCTGGACAAGATGTGATTGTAGCCAGGGGTGAGGTGCGCTTCTATGCGCGAGCTGGAAGGTCGAAAGACGTGCCTCTTGGTCAACTGATAGAAGAGATGTGCGCCAAGGTGAATGAGGAAGAAGCCAAGGTCCTGCATTCGGCTGCGAGCAACAAGGCCGCGGCTGTCGAGTCTGCGCCTCAGGTTGCATCACAGGCCATCCACTACATTCACGGAGACCACCGGATCAGCGTGGTCGCATCCCTTTTGCCTTCTGCACTGATCAGCACTCAGCACAAGGGAATTGACCACGCTCAAGGCGATTCTAGCGAAGACCAAGATGTAGCTGTCGTCGCCGCCGCGCTTCACACTAACAATGATGCTGCAAGAGCCGCTGTAGCTGCCGCAGAATCAGCAGTGCTTTGTGCTGAGATGAAAGGTAACTTGATCGATGCGCAAGGCCTTTCCATTGTAGCGGAGAAGAACAAGCTCTGGATGTGGAACGTGGAGACGGGTACGGGTGAACAGAGCAAAGCGACGCTCGTACCGAAAGGAGTCTACCTCATGTCTTTCGCCAAGTATCTCGAAGCGCTGCTCTACCATCCCGCCCTGAAGAAGTCGACTGCGCACGATGCGGACGCGGGAGATGGATACGATCTGGTCCGAGCTTTTCGAATGGGTAGAGCGCTGGTCAAGGTTTGTACGCAGCCCGTCGCGCTGTACGATCTGGCCATCGAAGGTCCGAGGATCTACTCATCGGCTCACACCCGGGGCCAGGACAGCAAAGTTTCGCCATCGAAGCAGTCGGCTGCAATCGTCAAGCAGACAAGGCTAGAGATCCAGCATTTCTTTTCGAGCGTCAAAGCTCGCATCTCGCAGCTCGAGACCATCTTTGTGGCGCGTGAGCTGGATGAGATGGGAAAGACGATCAAACCTGCTAGCGTCAGCAAATCTTTCACCGGTGTTTCCATGGATTCGGAGAGCTTGTCAGAACGCAGCATCAACGAGGAGCTTGCTGGCCCCTTGCAGCTTCTTGCGAGTTTAGGCGAAACCTTTACCAACCGAGAATTTGAGCTCTACGACGCTTTGAAAGAGACTGATCGTGAGTACGTCGTGCCATTGAGAGGTGTTGCGTGCCCATCCTGAAACAGATCACGATCACCTATGCAGCCAACGTGATCAACGACATTCGAAAGGCCTTCAACGATCGCGCCAAGTCGGCCAAGAATCGCCTAGCTGCCTGGACGACCAAGCATCTCACTAAGACTGAACTCAAGCAGCTGGGCCCCTTGGACTTTGAACTCCCAGAGTATGCCAAACCAGGCGTGCACTCGTTCCCAGGGTCGAAGCATTTGATTCGGGAGGATGAGCCACTAAGCATTGTGGCATTCTCGTTGTCTTCTCGGGACTACAAGGGCGAGATGGGTGCTGCAGTGCCCCAACAGCCTGCGCCTGAGCACAATCAACGTGTGCTCAACTGGAGGACTAGCGTAATACCAGGAGGCGGATCGCAACTTTCCTCCAACTCGGGTGTGCCATCCGTCGCGGGTTCCACGTCGACTGATGCATCGCGCAGAAGCGCGGGATCGTCTGCTCTGGATCCAGATGTGGACGAAGATTTTCACCAGGCTGAGCCGGTCCGAGTTCATATGAAGCGCAAGCGCCGAGGTCGAGAAGCGTCTATCCTGTCTCTGACACTGCGACGTGTGGGCTCGTCGATCTCAGCTCATTCCGAATCGCAAGCGACGACGCCAACGGCGGAACATGTGCCGGTCTTGGACCAGGCCTCAGGCATCGACAAGGATGTCAGGACAGACCCGCTGGAAGATGATGCCGACGCGAGCTTCAGCGGACTCTCGCTCGATGTCGATCTAGCAACTCCTGGTGTTTCGCCCTTATCGCCACACGCTTTTGACAAGGTCCAGTCTACGCCTCCAACGAGTCGGATGCGCAAAGGTGCGAACCCTCGGGCTTACGATGGCTCCATCGCTAGCTCGAGCAGCGTAGGCGGCAACAGCACTTTTCGTGCGCACGTCACGCAGCTCTCTGTGCGGCCAAATTCGCTCGCTTCCATCTTCTCTCGCGATACTGCCGAGCTCACCGAATTGGCTGGCAATGATCCGGATATAAGCAGCACCTCTTTGGGCTCGAGCTGGGGAATGGGCAGCTTGCGAGCAGGCAAACAGGAGACGTCAGCCGCAGGGGCTACGGGCTCGCGCATTTCTTCCCACTCTCTTGCACCGCCAACACCCTCCACCGAGGTACCACCTGAGCTCTCGACCTCATTGGCTACGAGCGCTGACGAAGACGCGCTGTCAGCAACGCCTCGCTCGACTTCGCATACTCACAATCAAGCGGAATCTCCACACGTGAAACACAATTTGTTCCACGGCAACACCAAGGTGAGTAGTATCATGATCTGCTCTGATGGGTCTTCTGTCACGTTCAAATAGCGCGTGTTTGTATCCGCAGGTGTCGTGCGTCAGCTGGTTTGCGCAAGACTTTGCCACATTGCGCCGCAAGTGGGGCATCGTCGACAACGATTTCGCTGAAAGCCTGGCGCGCTGCGCATCTTGGAACGCCAGCGGTGGCAAGAGCAAGTCCGCGTTCTTCAAGACCAAAGATGAGCGTTTCGTCGCAAAGCAGCTTCTTACCGTCTGGTCTGTCGACGAGAAGGAAGCGTTCTTGTGAGTAGGAACGAAGCTTTCCGCCTTGCCCATCGCTGCGAGCTAAATCGTGACCATCGTAGAGAGTTTGCGCCTGCATATCTGCGATACATGATGAACGCCGCTGTCAATGTGAGTGGATTCGTGTTTTTGTGCAGATGATCGACGCTTAGATGTGAGCATCTACTCTTCAGGACTGCCCGACTTTGCTAGTCAAGATAGCTGGTGTCTACAGTCTGAAGGTCAAGCAGATCGGTGGCGAGACGCGCCTCAAGATGAACATCATGGTGCTTGAGAATCTCTGGACAGGCAAGGAGGTTAGTGCAGCTTTCTGCGGATGGCAGCTGATCCGCAACTTCTGACTTTGCTGCTGCATCGTCCCAACGTTTTGCCTCAGACGGCGCGATTCGATCTCAAAGGAATCCGAGACCGACGTGTAAAGCCTGGTGCCGCGCCGCTTGAGGAGGGCGATGGTCCTCCTGTGCTGTGGGATGCAGAATGGGTCGACTGTGAGTGCATCACGAGAAGGAGAGGTCGATCTCGCGTTCCCGCTGACTTGCTTTACTGGGCATCATTCTACCCTACCACCATAGTGTATCGCGCGCCATATGTTGCAGAAGAGCAAAAAGCACTATTCATGCGAGCAGTGTCGAATGATTTGCACTTTTTGCAGCAGACGCAAATCATGGACTATTCCTTGCTCTTGGGCGTCACTGAGCCCAGTCCCGACTCTGGTTCCGCCGATGATGCGGGAGCAGCGGAGCGCGCACCTCGGCGACCTGTCCTGCAAGCTAGGATTGTCGACATTATCGGCGCATGGACCTTGGCGAAAAGCTTAGAGTCGAGCGGGAAACGTGCTCTGAAAGGAGGTGGCAACAAGGATGCAGTCACCATTCGACCTCCGCCAGAGTACGCCGCTCGCTTTGCTCGAGCCATGGGTGGGTTGGGCTTCAAAGGGTGCTGCACTTCGCGTATACATGCTGATACTCGCAGTGCTTTTTTCGTGCTTTGCGCTTAACCTCCCCTCCCTCTAGACTCGTACTTTCTGGGCGCACCTCAACGTACTCCGACACCAGCCCCGACGACGCGCAAGTCTGCCTCTGTCCATTTGCCCATGGTGCTCTAGCGCCCTCACTATGTAACGAACCTAGACGCAGCGCCAGTCACGTTGATACCCAATCTCGATTTCTTCGGGTGACCGCTTCAAATCGTATCATCGTATCGCAAATGCACGCCGAGCTCAGCAGCGCCAGATGCGGACGTACATCAAGGCGATCAGAGCTTCATCATGAGTACCTAAGCGTCTCTGAAGACGTTGCCCGCTTTTGTCCGCCTTTGCCCCGCGTGGCAGGGGACCCCTATAGAAAAGTGATGTCGCTTGATAGTCTTCGCTCGTCCATCTTAGAGATCTACGGCGAAGCGGCTGCTAGGAATCGGCGCGTGCCCAGCAAGTCACGAGTCTTAAAGCAAGGCGTCCGTTCGCGATGCCAATGGAATTTGAATTTCAGTCTCGTCGAGAGAGAGAGAGAGCGGTCAATGCGGCGAGTGGTACATTGGCAGCGTGGCTGTGAGCGTTCTCCGGACCAAGGGGCGATGGGCTACAAGCTACATTCTTGGGTTGAATGAAAAGGTTTCTGCGAGGAGTGGATGCGTATGTTGAGGTGGTGCTCTTCTGCTGCTTTGCCATCACGCGAAAGAGATTGGAGGGCCGCATTGATGCGGCCCCGCGTGCACTGCGACGTCCGATGTGATGGTGGCGTGAACCACACTACGAGGCAGGAGCGCTGTTGGACGTTCCGGGTGCGCCTCCTTTCCCTCCATTTCCAGTCTTGGCGCCTTTGTTCTTTTTGTTGGCCCTACCGCGCCTGTTGCCGCGGCCTTTGCCTCGACCTCTACCCGGTCCCGTCGTGCGCTCTCCTTTAGATCCTTCGCCCGAGTGCTGGGTTCCAGCAGTGCTGTGCGCGTCTTCGTCCTCCTCCTCCTCATCCGACGAGACGCTTCTACTCTGCGTACCAGATCTCTGTGGTTCTGCGCTCGGAGGCACGAGATGTTGACCAGATGTCGAAGTAGGAATAGCAGGGGTCGAGGTCGCGTGTGCGTGAGCGTGAGCGCTGGGACTAGACGCTTCGTTCGCCTTGACGCTCTTCTTCGACATATTCTCCTTCGAAGCTTGTCTTTTCAGATTCTCTTTGGACGGCTGCCTCTTGATGTTCTCCTTCGACACTTTGGGCTTCAATTGTTCGTTTGAAGGCTGCTGCTTGATATTCTCTTTGGAAGCCTGCCTGCGGCCATTTCCCTTTTGACTCTGGGCTTTCTTTTGCGCCTTTTCGGCCCTATCAATCTCCTCTGGCTCAATGCGCTCCAATAGGGACTTGCCACTGTGTTGAGCAGGGGAACCACTAGCCGTGGCTGGGTCCTGTGAAATGATCTTTTCCTCTTGAGGTGCTTCGTTGTTGATGCGACTGGGAATGTTGATTTCTCTGGCAGGTGCATCCTCGGTAGCTCCGACGCGCACGACGGCGTCTCTACCAGAAGAGCTGTCGACAGACGCGTCATCCGGAAAGGCGCGTACAGATCTGGTAGGACTTGCAGCATTCAACTTTTCTCCTTCCTGACCTCCCACCGATCGCTTGCCTTCGGATTTGTGGTGGATGCTTGAATTATCTTGGGCGGAAAGCGACGCTTGCGCTCTTACAGGCACAGGCTCACTGAGCGGGATCTTCTCTTTTGGCAATGCATAGATGAAAGGCGTAGGCAATTCGATCGGACTGATTAGATTTGCAATGCTGCGAGGAGGGAAGCGGAAGCGGAGCTCAGTGCGCGATGACTAATGGGCGCCCACCTCGGTGGCGTTCTACACACCTCGAAGTGGTCTGAGCTGCCCGTTCCAAAGCTCTCAGTGGCCGTCTCGCAGCGGCTCCGGTCACATTCAAAGCGCTCTTGATCCAACCGCTAGCCAGATCGGAACCCCTGTCGAAGCCTTGGTCCAGGTTCTTGGTGACACCAGCAGGAAGTCTGGATCGAGCTTCGTGAGCGTACACCTTGGCTGTAGGCCTGAGCACCGATCGAGATACTGAAGCGCCACGAGCGTAGAGATCAAACAGGAGATTGGAGAACAAAAGCACAAGGGCTGTGACGATGGGCGTGTAGATGGTTCGCTCGCTAGGGCGCAAAGAGAAAGGTTGAGCCAATTTGAGCTTGTCATCGGAAACACGCATAGTCGGTCGCTTGCACTCACATTGATCCGAAGACGGGCAGCTTTTGTACAAAAGCGTCCAAGGGCCAATCATCCTCCCACTTGGTCACGTACAACAGAGATCCGCTATCCTTGATCGCGTTCAAGCCCGACTTGCCCTGAGTCCTCTTGCCTGCTCCGTCAGCGTGCAGTGTGATGCGGGAGCGGACCGCAAAGGCAAAAGTAAAGAGCGGAAAGAGACGAGGACGCAAGAAGCGAGTGGATTTGATCGTTGCCGTCGAAGTGCTGGGCAGGGGGGGGCGTAGGACTGAATCAGCATATATGCGGCCTGTCAACTCCAGCTTCGCGCTCACTCTTCGTCCCAAACGATATCTTCAACGTCGATTTGAGCGCCAGGCCCAGCGTCTAAAGAATTGAGCAGCCATGCGGCGTGCTTGACGTTGCTGGCCCCGCTTATCTGCATGACGGTTCCGCGGCATTCATGGAGTCTAATCAGCATCCAGCCTTTGCTAAGCGGACGGCGACGCAACGCCCACCCACCTCTAGTCCGTGCCCCTTGTAGATCGCCGAAGAGGCAAAGTGGGCATTGATGGTGGAGTTGAACATCACCACATCGCGCGACCACAAGTTCTTGGACAATTCTGGCGCGGCGAGTCAGGGCATGGGCATGGATGAGAAGGTCGAGTGAGCGACCTTGCCGGCTGATGACCCAGACGAGACGAGACGTATGTCGCGTGCTTTGCTGCGAGCGCAGAGATGACGCAAAGTCTCTTTCGGGCTAAATTTCGATCAAACTCACCGAGCAGATTCGAACGGATCTGAGCTGGATCAGCCTCCATGCTGGGCAGACAAAGGCGTACTCTTGGGTGCGCGATGATGGTTGACCGTTGCCGTCAATCGATGCACCTGCTCCCGCTCTTTGAGCTCCTCGCGATGATATACAACGCAGTCGATGGGCGAACCAAAGAAGAATGGGTCGAGTTCGAGCTTCGCGAGCGCTGATGGGGTTCGATGCACTCTTCGCTGAGAGTTACGAGAGTCGCGTTGGTGGAGAGTGTGAGTCGAGCGCGGAGCAGAATGGTCAAGACTGATCTATTGAATCTTCGAACTCCAGGCTTGTCTCGTGGTGGTGAAGGTGGGTCACAAACTCACGAATGTGAATCCATGATTGACTCGCGACCCTCGACGTCACAGCTACTGATGCCTGTGCGGTGCAGGTGGGGCAGTGCGCGCATGTAACGGAGAGCGAATTCAAAATCTCGCCGCGCCTTGCATGCTAACAATAATACTAATCGTGAACATGCATATATAAAGAGGGTCCGTGCGCACGTAACCCGCTCAGATTCAAGATTGCCCCCCTCCCTCTCCTCCACCCCCGCCAAACTTGCTGCTGGTGTGGCCCTGCATAGCCTGTCATTCCAGAGAGCGTCCTTTGCGATCCGAGCTTTGGATTTTGGATTCCGGCACAACGTCCAAGACCGTCGTCATAACAAGTCGCAGTCAAGGGGTGCAAACGCATAGATAGCCACGCGACCCAGCTGCTCGCCACTGTACATACCTGCGCGCGTGGGATCCGAGAGAGAATCAAAATGTCGTATCGCGAGTGGAGCAAGCGAGTGAAAGTAGCTGCTGGCTGAATCAAGGGCGTGCTCCAGGTTCAGAATTGGCAACTGCGGACAAGATTCTCGGACTCGTCAGAGCAAGAAACATGACACGTCTCAATGTCAATGGCCTTTGCCTTTTGGGACGTGTGTGAAATAGGGGTGACGACCTCAGACCACCGTTCGATCATAGCCTATGAAGTGCTTTGACCGTGTTGTATGGCGCAGGGGAAAGGAGGAGTAGAGCATCGATGTGAGGGAATCGGCGCACTGTTGGTATGGCCAGTAAGTGTTCGGGTGCGCAAGGGCTACACAATCTCGCCAAGTTCCTTCGTGTGGACATGTGTACGTGCGTCTGGGCGTTTGGATCTTGCGGAAGCGAGGGATGAGGGATGAGAATTCAGGTCTGTGGCAGACGTAGCTCAGCCGTTCAGGAAGCGCTGCTACGACTGGGTACGAGAGGTTTCAGCTCCTGCGCGCGAGAGCGAGAGGAAGGGAGAGAGGGAGAAGAAGGGAAGGGGGCCGAATTCGTCTTAATCTTTCGGCAAGGCTGTCTGCGCATGCCCATGGCCTAGACGTTGCTACTCATCGACTCACTTCTGCATGCGCTTCTCGCAAGTAGCGAGCAAAGCGATTCGCGACTTGTTTGAAGCATTCTCGTTCCACCGGAAGCAGCATATCTTGCTCGTCTTGAGCATCCTTCACGTTTGCTCTTGCTCGCTGCCCATGCCCACGTCCATGCGGTAAATGTAGCTGCTTTTCTCTCAGGTCATTTTGAGCATTCAGGATGAGCTTTTGCACCTCAATCAGAGTTGCTTTGAGCTCCGGGTCGTCGATCTGACAGCCTCGCAAGAGTAGCTTGATGCCGCGCCATCAAAGCATAGCACGGCATGACACGGCGACCGAGCAACAGGACGGTCAAGGGAGATGTTCGGGCCATTAAGGCGAAAGGGAAACGTGCAAGTCGAGTAAATGTCAGTATAGGGAAATTGCCTATGCACAATGCTGTAGGCGAAGCTCGAGTAGGAGATAGATGTCTGCTTCCCAGACTTACCGTACGCCAGTTGTGATTCTTGCTCCAAGCCTTTTGTTTCTTCGACTGGTCAATGAGAGTCTCTTCTATGACAGAACGGTGTTGTGGGTCTCGGCTTCTCGCAGGTCGTGGTAGCTTGAGAAAGCGAACGTCTCAGAGATGGTCAGTCAGCCGGCCTACGAGCAAGTGAGTCCATACGCGAGTTGGGAAAGGGTGGTGGAGAAAGAAGAGACAAGGAAAGAATGACTCACTGTGAAGATGCAATGATGCATCATCGATTCCAGATCGTCGATGTATCGATGAAGGTACTTGTACACTTCATCTTCAAACTCTTCCAAGATGGATCTCCAATCCGTTTCGTGGGCGGCACTTTTCCCTGCCGATGCCGATGCCGATGCCAGATCTTCATTCATTCGTAGCAGTTCCTGTGCTTCTCTGCACAACTGGGCTGAGCAAGGCAAGAAACGCGGATTGGCACAACGCACATCGCTTTCGGCCAATCGTTTCCAAGAAAGCGATCCGCTGTGCTCGGCACCATCATCATGCCGAGACTTTGAGCCGGCGAAGGTCTGGAGAGACGTCGACTCAGGCGCATATTGCCATGATCGACAAGGACAAGACCAGGTTTTCCATCCCCATGCTCTTCTTGCATTAAGACATTGCCCACGTTCAAATCCCTGTAGTGAAGGCCCAGCTCCGCATAAGCGCCCAGCTGTTTGGTGAGTTGCGCGTAGATGCGAATCCTGTCACGATTGCTCGTCGCTGCACAAAGCGGTACTCCCGTTTGCTGGATCATGCCGAACGTTTCCAAAATGGTCCGGTGGTCATCACGATCTGGCCAGGTTCTCCAAGCAGGAGCATTGCGAATATCGCCTAGTGCAAGCGGCGCATCTATGTCCATCCACGCCTCATTACCATCTTTCTTCATTTTCGCTCTGCCCTCGTGAATGAGCTCTAGCATGCGCGGGTTTCGTGGCCGATCAGTTCTTGCGGGCGCCAGCAACTTTTGATCAACAAGCACTTGTCTTCCGATCGCAAAGCCTCTACCTGCTCCGTGGACAGGTCCGACGAGTCAAGGTCGATCGCGCTGGGCGCAAAGATTGTGACGACTGTCCGGGAGCCCACAAGATCAGGTCTAATGACTTCTGACAGGGCTTCTGCCTTCTTGTGTAAGCGCAGGCGACCTTTGTGAGGCGGCGATTCGCCTTCCGCGCATGGTCTTTGGAAGAGCAGTAGATCCTGGCCGCAGGGATGCCAGAACGGCAAGATGAGTGGATCGTGCACGCAGAGGAGCAAGATTTTGCCGATCTCTACCAAATCTCCTTCCTCCAAGATGGAATACGGCCGGCTGAACGCATAGGCATTCGCAAAGAACGCCCAAAGGCGTACGCGCTCTCCGCACCAGGTGACCACGTGCACCACACGAGCCATCGGATGATGCAGCAGCAGCTAATGCTTTGTAGTGTCGGGAAGCTCAATTAGTTCAACAGCTCGATCGCGGACGGAGGTTGCATTGCGATGAGACTCACTGCATGGCGGACCACCTGGCCCATGCATGCCTCGCGACCATCATCCAAAGCGTTCTTTCTGACTACGAACACACCCCATATTTGCCGCCAAGAGGCAACACTCTTTTGTGATTTGTTTTGATTCACAAGGACGATATCGGGCTTGTGCCGATTCGGCGCTTTCAAGTTTCCGTGCTGACGCATGTCACGTTGAAGCAAGGACGATCCGAAGATCAATGTGGGATGCGCGCGGCTGTGCGACCGGTGCGACGCACTCACGTTGGCAAGTCGATCGCGGCTTAGTGCGCACCTGATCAGAGTAGCGCCTGATGAGCTCTTGCTAGAGATGCCATCGTCATGAGATGTGCAAGTGGCTGCGAAAGAGTTGAGCAACTCGACGATGCATCCTCTCAGATACCTCACCCCACGCTCCTGTTCCTTGACCGATTTCCGGATACGATCGATGTTGTGACGGAGCGTTGGGTTCTTCATGCGCTCTGTGATTCTCTTCTCCACATCAGGTGAGGCTTGCAGCGCGATGTACTTGTCTAGCTGATGCGCTCGAACGGAGCGCACCAACGCCCGGTGTTCACGGCTTGCGCTCGACTCTGAACTTGAACGCGCCTCCGAATCTGAGTTCGAAGGTGCTGAGGACGCCGAAGCGCTAGACGTCGATGCATTGCTTGCTCTATCGTGCATTGACCCATCCAACTCGGCCCGTTCTGTATGATCTCGATGCCGAGGGCTGAACTGTGCGGATGATGAGGGCGATGGCAAAGGATGTGGATGCGACTGTGCTTGGGATGCAGAGTGGTTGTATGTAGGCGTTGACGGATCGGGACGCCTTTCATTGCGATTCACATTGAATGTGTCGGCCTCGTGCGACTCGTACTTCAAGTGCAAGTCGGACATCAAGCAGGGCCAGATTCCATCCGGCGCTTCCTCACCCACGCATTTGCGCACTTGCAATCTTCTTGCGCGAACACTGTCCTCTCTTGCTATTTCATTCTTCATCTCAACGAGGTGAAGGGTCAAGTGTGCACCAGCATAAATGGACTGAACATGGGATTCATCTTGCTTCCCGGCAGCAGCGGCAGCAGCGGCAGCAGCAATGCTGTCCAATCCGGCATCATCTTCGTGATCGACCATTTTGACTGCAAGACCGCAGCGAACGAGTGATTATGCGTCCACAGTCATCTGCGTGTCCCCCGCTGAGCATGCTTCTCCGTACCAGCCACCGAGCCAAGCACCACTAGTCAGCATAGTGGTGAGTCCATGCCCACACAGGCTATTGGTCTTGGTCTGGATCTTGACATGCTGGCAGAGCTAGGCATCAGTGGTGAGTCTCAAGCGGCCTGGGCCCGTGACTGTATCGAGGAGAAACATCGCAGACGGATGGATCAACTGAGAAGGCATGTATCTGTACGAGGGGTGTTCCAGAGACATATATAACGTCTGAGCCTGATCGGGAGCAGCATGATCGAGTCGATCAATCGTGAATCCCTACTCAAGACTCATCAGACGCATCATCATACTCTGGCTCAGTCAAAGTATTTACACGACACCCCCAAACCTGCGCGACGCGTCTTGATCAAAGCAGAAGAGAGCAACACCAGCAGGCGGCGGTTAGTTGAGAGCAAATCCTTCGAGAATGTTTTTGCCGAGCCGTTTCCAAGCGCCTAGCTGTCATCGGGGTTCGGTGCGCGCGCATCGGCGTGCGCGCATGCATGCGGTATAAAGAGGGCGGGATAGACGATGGCGATGGGACAGCAGTCCACGCGTATCTTCTGCAGCAGTATAGAGCGCCATGCATGCATGCAGCGGGGCGGGCGGCTGAGATGCCACGAGGGCAGATATTTGCCTCGCTCGGCTTGCTGGTGCTCGACCACCACACCCACACCCACGCATCCATTGCCACGCGAGCATCGCTGCATATCCACTCAATCATTTGCCACGCGAGCATATCCCAACTCCCCCTCCCCGCTACGCGAGAACAGACGCGTACAAGCACGCGTAGCAACAACACTCACGACTGATCGACGGGTGTGTAGAGCAACTCACGACTTGGATCGCACCATTGCGACTCCGTCACTTCCACTCCGACGCTGCCATTGTCGTCGTCGTCGTCGTCGTCGTCGTCGTCGTCGTCGCGTCGTCAACGTAGGCTCGTTGGTCGTCGGTCGTCTGCCTTGACGAAATCATCGTTGGGTTCGATCCATCGCCAGTCACGAGTCCGTAAGCAGTAATAGCAAGTCCTAATCTTCATCGCTACATCTTGCGTCTTAGGGGCACCATCCATCGCGCACACTGTTTGCAGGACCCGTCTTGTGTCGCGATTGATCACTCACAGGCAGGCAAAGGGAGGCAAATACGCGAGGAGCGGGCGCTCTCGTCAGCAGATTTGAGGATTTCTGTTTTGCAAAAGTGGGGGCGTGTTTTGCCGAGAGTGATAGATTGGTGGCAATCGCCCTGCTATCTTCGGCTTCTCTGTTCTCTGCGTGCGCTGCTGAGTAGCAACTTGTCAACCACAGCCTGTTGCGAGGACGTGCGAGGCCCCCCGCCTTTGAGACTGGGTGTATCCTTGGCGAGCGAACATGGAAGGCGTTGTGACTGCTGATCAGCAGCAGCATCAGCAACCTTTCGAAGGGGCAGTCGATGGCACGACCGATGGTCAGCAAGCGAGCGATGCCGGTAAGTGTGCTTTCCCGTTCGCCCGCACCGCGCACACCCGATAGTCGCATCTGCCACGCTGAGCAAGCACAACTTCTTTATTTATTTTATTCGTTTGTGTTGCCGTGACAGAGCGATACCCTTTCGACCCATACACTTTTGGCTATGCCGAGGCTGGAGAGGATCAGGGGCAAGAAGAAGCCGGGGAGGATGGGCAGCCGGAGTATCACGCCCAGGATGTCGCACACGAGCTGGCACCTGGTCAAGAGGAGCTGGGAGTGGGAGAGGTGGACGGCGAACAGGTGCCGCATTACGAAGAGCAAGGACAGCAAGAAGTGGAGCTGCAACAAGAGCACGAGGGGCAGGATGGAGAGTTGATGCATCAAGAGCAGGTCATCGAGGCAGAGGGCGAAGGAGACGCTGTGCAAGTGCACGGCCAGGACCACGACGCGATAGTGTACGAAGAGGAGCAGCCGCATGTCGAGGAAGAGGCACAGCACGACAATAATACAGCGCATCCTCATCTTGGCGCAGCAGGAGATGTTTTGTCCAATGGGGACGCTGTCCCCACCATCAATGCTCCTGAAGGCGACGGAGGAGAGCAAGAGTATGGCGTACAGGCTGGCGAGCCAGAAGCTGCGCAAGAAGCAGACGCGCAGCAAGCACCGTCGGGTGGCAAGCAGGCCAGCAGCCTGTCCGTGCCTCACAAGAAGGAGACGCCATATAGTCGATCGCCCGAATTGCGCGTGAGCCACAAGCTGGCGGAGAGAAAGAGAAGAAAGGATATGAAGACGCTGTTCGATGAGCTGAGGGTGATCCTACCAGACGATAAAGGTCCCAAAACGAGCAAGGGAGACATTTTGTCCAACGCCATCTACATGATTCGAAAAGGTGCGGCTGTGCAAGATAGGGATCGAACGGAGCTGGAGCTGCTTAGAAACGAGATTGTCAAGCTAGGGGGAAGTGTGCCTGAACCTCCACCTCTTGAATTCTCCGAATCTGCTGCTAGAGGCGAAAGCCTTGTGGACGGTCAGGAGCAACAGGAACAAGCACAGGCACAGGCAGAGGGGGAGACGGAGGCTCGGCCGCAAGATGAGAGCATGGTGGATGCCAGCCAGTCTTACGAGAAGGGCGATGTTCAGGATGAGAGCATGATGGATGAAGAGCAGCAGCAGCAGCAGCAGCAGGCGGCGCAAGAGGCGGTGGAAGATGGTCAGGAAGTGCAAGATCAAACAATGCAGGATGGACAGGTACAGCAAGGAGAAGAACAAGCGTACGATGATGTTGCTGCTGCTGAGCAGCAAGAAGTGATGGTGGAGGAGATGACGGAGGAGGAAGCGGCAGCGGCGGCGGCTGCTCAGCAGCAGCAGCAAGAGGAAGCTGCCAATTTTTTCGCTTCTGCAGCAGGAGCGCAAGTGGGCGTACCAGAGGCAGGAGAAGGGGAGCAAGAGCAAGGAGAAGGGATGGAAGGGGAAGGTGTGCAGGAGCAACAAGCTTACGAAGAAAATGTGGAGCAGCACGGACAGGCAGAGTACGAAGGGCAGCAAGAAGAGTATGCGCAAGAGGATGCTGAGCAGGCGTATGCTCTGGACGAGCATGGCGATCTGCAAGGGCACGAGCACGAGATGCAAGATCATCATGAGCAAGGCTTGCACGCCCTAGCTCAGGACGCTCTGGGCCAACAGCAACAGGATGGACTTGAGCCGCTTGAAGAGCAACAACAAGAGCAGCAAGACGAAGAGCAGGTTGCGATAGCACAGCAAGCTGCAAACGAAGCGGCTGGACACAACGCTATCTACATGCCCTCTTGACGGCAACGCCTATTGCCCGGACTCTTTTCTTGGCAAAAAAGAGAGCCAAGCACGTCGTTCGTATCTTCACAGGCCATCCGCGCCCCTTGCGCTTGCGATCGCATGGAGAAAGTATGGCGGCAAGAACTTTTTCAATCGCCTCCGCCCCACCCTTCGACTCGCTTTCCCATCGTTTCGCTCTCCACAAAAGTGTGTTTTTTTTTTCTTGCTTGTAACAGTACAAAAGGCTAAAGGAATATGCAAATTATTGCGAGGGTTGGCAGGGAAGGGTACGTGTACCTTGGGGCGTGGGCGTGGGCGTGGGCGTGGGTGTGGGTGTGGGCGTGAGTGTGGGCTCGGCCTTGGGCTGTATGAGTAAGAAATTTGAGGGGGGCGACCCAAAGGCAGGATCTGGTCTTCATCGAGCGTGTTCGAGGGGGGGGGGGGGAGCTTCGAAAGTTGCTGAATCACGAATGTGGTCCCCGAATCTATGCGCACGCTTTGCCCTCGACTAGCCCTCATCTCGCCTTGCGCCGCCGTTCGTGCACGTCTCCCCC